AGGCGTCTGACAGGCATGAAGAGGAAGCTAAGAAATGCAATCTCTGTTAGTGAGCTCCCGTGGGGACGTGGGTCGCAGCCCTTCACGTGTGGGAAGCACCCTGGAGGCTAAGTGAAGCAGAGGGACCTTTCTGGGAAGCTGGGCTTTTCTGAGCTTCCAGGTCATCTTGTGTGTCCTAGTTTAACGTTTTACTCATCACTGCTGTAAAACCCCATTTTTCTCATGCCTTATGTCCCTGCTGGTAAAAGTAAGCAGCAGGAGAAGCTGGCTGGGCACTGTGCTTGCCAGCGATAGCAGCAACCAAAGGGAGAACATGGGGTACTGAGCTCGCCCCCTGCAGCTGAAGAGTTACCAACAGGAGAAGTCGTGGTGGCCCGCTCTGCGAGGTGAACCCGCGTAAGATCTCACTCTAGGCATTAAGGGTGAGGTGCATCATGCGACAGGGCACGCTGTAATCCTGCAGACCAGAGCTGCGGCTGCTTCTGGAACTAAGGTTTGAGTGTGTTACATCCGGTTCCTCCTCACTCACCAAGTGAGGGCTGCCGAGTCACTTATGGTGACAGTACTTAAGCATCTAAAGAAACGCATGCCTCTTTGGAAAAATCTACCACTTTTGCTAATTAATTTCTGATTTTAAGAAAAAAAAAAAAACTGTAATTTTTTTTTAACCTGTTAGCTTCTCTGGACCTCAGTTTCAAAGCTTGCAAGCACTAGGTGTATTACCTGTGAAATACAGGTAACATTTTATTTTGCAATATTATAAGGCTGCCGTGGTTTAACCCCAGCCAGCAACTCAGCACCAAGCAGCCAGTCACTGACACCCCCACAGTGGGAGAACAGAGAGTCGGAAGAGTAAAAGTGAGAAAACTCATGGGTTGAGATAAAGACAGATTAACAGCCACGCACACAAGCAAAGCAAGACAAGGAATTCATTCACCACTTTCCATGGGCAGGCAGGTGCTCAGCCATCCCCAGGATAGCAGGGCTCCATCACGCATAACGGTGACTTGGGAAGACAAATGCCATCACTCCAAATGTCCCCCCCAGTTCCTTCTTCTTCCCCCAGTTTATATACTGAGCGTGATGTCAGATGGTGTGGGATATCCCTCTGGTCAGTTGGGGTCAGCTGTCCTGGCCATGACCTCTCCCAGCTTCTTGTGCACCCCCAGCCTTTGTGCTGGTGGGGTGGGGTGCAGAGCAGAAAAGGTAAGTCCTGCTCAGCAGTAATGAGAACATCCCCCTGTGTTATCAACCCTGTTTCCAGCACAAATCCGAAACATAGCCCCATACCAGCTACTGTGAAGAAAATTAACTCTACCCCAGCTAAAACCAGCACAAAGGCCTGTGATGCATATATATATAATCATAAAAGGAATGTCACTACATCTAACCTGTGGCAAAGACAGGAGGACAGTACGCAGCAGTGCTAGTGAAGAGCTATATGTGGTCTCATGCAATTAACCATTTGCAAATGTGACATCTTTGAGAGGCATAAAAACACACGTACCTCAAACTTGCCATTTCATGCAGTCTAAACCTTAGGATGTGAAATTGCACAAAACAGAATGATTGCACATGAGAAGCTGAAGATGAAGAGGATCTTTCCATTCTACTCAAGTACGGTTAACATTTCTTTGTTATATATCTTGAAAACAAGGAAACCTTGGGAATTAAATCTTTCTTTTGTATCTAAAAGGAACGTGTGTAATCAACGCTGCTGTTCATAGATGACTAGTGAGTTTCACCGAGACTCTCTATCTTTGAAGCACCAACAGGAATAAGAGCAAGCTGTAACAGCCACACAACATACCCATACCTGTGTGGCACTGTTGTATTCCGGTTTAGACTGCAGAGCAGGCAGCACAATGTTGCAAGCTGGCATTGCTGAAAATGCATGCTCTGAGTACTCCTATTTGCATCTGTGATGGCTGATGAATGCTTTAAACATCAGCAGGTGCTTTCACCATTTCACATGGTGATCTACATGAAAAGCAGACTGGATAACCATGAGTTTGATGCAGTCTTTCAGCCTCTTCCTCAGCTGAGGGTCCGGCTCCGCCAGCTCACAGTTTTGCTGTCCCTGCTGCCACGGCTGCTCACGGCTGGGGAAGCAGCCCTGCATGGCACAACTGTGCTCCAATTCACAGCGTACTGGCAACTGCAACAAATATCCACTTGGGAACATGTGGAAAAAAGTTCCATGTGATGTGCAAGTCCCTTAGCCCAGTAACTGGGAATGAAGAGAAATGCCAGCACTGTGTCACCATCCAGGTTTCTGTTCATCATGACAAAGTGCTGCAGAGGTGCAGACCTTAGCCTGAAAACCTTTTGCTATTTTGCTATATTATATATATAGTCAGAAGCAGAGAATGAGAGAATGTGCATGTGTATCCGTTTGATGTTTCTGACCAGCCTCTCTAAAATAATGAACTGTACTTAATCTTTAGGAATTTCATTCTAATGTCTCTACAACAACAAAAAAATTGTTAAAATGACCTCTTTTCCTTCCAGTCTATAATTCTTCTGTTTAATGGCACTTTGTTTCAATAATTGCTTTCATGCAGAAAATATTACAACACAAATAATAACCAAAACAATGCTCTCATTATCATCTAGGCAGCTCAGTGAAAGCTCCAAGAACTCATTAAAATACACTTTTCATGCAATTTGCATTACAATAATACAGATTAAATCTCTTGAAAAGTAGACATGATAAAGAAGTCAAATGTATTCCCAGAAATTTGTCCAGACTGTTAGCTCTTGTTATATGTTAATCCCATTATTTTTCATAATCAGAACTTTAAATCCTGAACAGATTTCTTTTGTCCCCTACAGAAAGGCAACATAAATTAAGGTGTACTTTCTGATTTTCTTTTTAGTATCATAGAATCACTTTGGTTGGAAAAGGCCTTTGAGATCATTGAGTCCAACCTTTAACCTAACCCTGCCATCCCACCACTAAACCATGTCCCTAAGCACCTCCCCTATCCTTCTTTTAAATACCTCCAGGGATGAGGACTCGACCACCTCTCTGGGCAGCCCATTCCAGAGCCTGACAACCCTTTCAGAAGAAGTTTTTCCTAATGTCTAGCCTAAACCTGCCCTGGCGCAGCTTCAAACCATTCCCCCTCATCCTATCATCTGTTACCAGGGAGAAGAGGCCGACCCCCACCTCCCTACAGCCTCCTTTCAGGCAGTTGCAGAGGGCGATCAGGTCTCCCCTCAGCCTCCTCTTCTCCAGGCTAAACAATCCCAGTTCCCTCAGCTGTTCCTCGTATGACTTGTGCTCCAGACCCCTCACCAGCTTTGTGGCTTTCCTCTGGAAATGTTCCAGCAAAGCAACATCTTTCTTATAGTGAGGGGCCCAGAACTGAACACAGTATTTGAGGTGCGGCCTCACCAGCACTGAGTACAGGGGCACGATCCCTTTCCTACTCCTACTGGTCACACTATTTCTGATACAAGCCAGGATGCCATTGGCCCTCTTGGCGACCTGCGCACACTGCTGGCTCATATTCAGCTGTCTGTCAACCAGTACCCCCCAGGTCTTTTTCCACCAGGCAGCTTTCCAGCCACTCTTCCCAAGCCTGTAGCGCTGCATGGGGTTGTTGTGATCCAAGTGCGGGACCCATCACTTGGCCTTGTTGAACCTCATACAGTTGGTCTTGGCCCATCGATCCAGCCTGTCCAGGTCCCTCTGCAGAGCCCTCCTCTGCTCAAGCAGATCAACACTGCCACCCAGTTTGGTGTCGTCTGCAAATTTACTGAGGGCACACTCAGTCCCCTCATCCAGGTCATTGATAAAGATATTAAACAAGACCAGCCCTAGAACTGAGCCCTGGGGGACACCGCTTGTGACTGGCTGCCAACTGGATCAAGACAGTGCAAAATACAGGGGATAATATGACCATCTTTGCAGTCTGTAAGACATTTCTAGGTAATAATGCTGCTTTTACAAACAGTAAAAACAGTTTGCCACAGTGGACAGTCATCTCAGTATATGTCCTTAAACTGAAAGGAGATCGGTTGTTAAGTTGTAGTTCATGTTTCCTATTCACTTCAGTATCCCTTTTTCTGTTAGCAGTTATCATCACTCCTGCCAGACTGCTGACTGAGCTGAGAAAAGTGTCACCTTCAGTTTATTCCCCTCCCTCAAATGCAAAAATCTAACTGTGCTTATGTACTTTCCTCACTTCTTACCTCTCTTCTTTCTGCCTGCGCAGCTACAACGCTTGCTGGAAATAGCCTTAAGGGCAGTGGTGGCTTTTCCTTGTAGGAAAGGTGTGGTCATGTTAAAATGCAACACGTGCCGAATGTAATAGACTATTTCAAAGAACAGAATGTATTTTCAAAGAGTTGAATGCTTTGAGGAGTTTAGAAACTGAAGAGTAGGAAAGCTACCAGTAGCTATTTCAAAGTAAGCTTTAGATTTTGTATTTTTCAAGGGGGACACAGGAGTGGAATTCTGATGTTTTACTGGTAGTATGAGGCAGTTCATGTTTTATTTTCTAGACATCCCGTTACCTTAGTAGGTTTTGAGTATACTTACTTCACACCTACTTTAATTTTATTCTTTTAGATGTGCATACAGAGAGCAGGTGGGGGTTACTTCAACTAAATTTAGGTACAGCCAGCCATGTTTATTTGGTTTTTTAAACCTTTTTTTGTTTGAAAATAAGACTCTCTTTATTGTATTCTTTTCAAGGGGAGGAGGGGTAGTTACTAACTATTTGGGGTATTGAATTAAGTAATTTTAATCTTTGTTTTATATTGACAACATTTAAAGCATCTGGATCCTTTTCAAGGCTGGTCTGAGAATAGCTATGCTAAAATGAGCCCGTTGGTTAAAGCAAGCTCGTCAATAACTCTGCTTCTGCTCTCTCAAGTGTTGCAGGTGGAGAGCTCTTCGACTTCTTAGCTGAGAAAGAATCTCTCACGGAGGAGGAAGCCACAGAATTTCTCAAACAGATACTTAATGGTGTTGAGTATCTCCACTCCCTGCAGATTGCCCACTTTGATCTTAAGGTGTGTTGAGCAGATAAAAACGTAAACAACTGTAAGCAACGTGCATTAAAAGTCCACTCTAACACCAGCCACAAACTGCCCGTCATGCAGATCTTAGCTGTAGTTTTGGTTTGCTAGTTTATGTAGACAAGGGAAAGCTCAGCCATTGAAAGGAAATAACTGAACTGTAAATAGTTCCCATCTGTTTTTAATACAAGATTCTTCATGGAAAACGGCAACTTCTGATGAAATTAAGCCATTCTGAGGAAGGAAGCTTGAAATAAAAACAATGATTATGATTTTATGGATCTGGATGAAACATTCTGAACAGGATGCCTTTTTTCCAACTGTTTTTTTTTCCTGTTGTATACATTTTATGTTCACATGAACGTTATTTGTAGATACGAAGTTGAAACAGTACAGAGTTAAATACAAAGATTCATGTGGAGCAGACAGAGCAGATAAATTCCTCTTCTTTTTTTTGCTTTTGAGGCTTTTTTGTTTGTTTTTAGAAAAACTGTTAATTGCATCCTTTTGGTAATGAAAAGAGAGCTTTTGTATCTAAGCCCAGTTACTGCTTTTTTAAAGTTTCAATTTCAGAATGTTTTCCTCTGTAAGATTTTTTTTTCAGAGGTGGGCAGCTGAACATTCACTGAAGTCTGCTGAATTCAGCAGCTATGTCTATAATAAGAAAAGGAGACATAATTATTATATTGCAGTGCAGTTCTGAAAGAGGTGCTGTGTTCTGGGGATGAGGTAGGGAATGGTTGTTAGGGTAAGCATACCTTTTCCAGTCTCATCCTCATTACCTACAATAATATATTTGGTCTTTGTATGACAGTCAGCAAGAGAAAAGAATTGTGAATCTAGTAAGAAATAACATTTCTTAGGATATGAAATGTGAATTTTTGCCAATGTGGTAGTAATAAAGCGTCCTTACGCTGGATACCAAGAGCATGTGAATTAAAGAACAATAAAAGTATGCAGTAGAAATGTAGGGAGGGAAGGAAGAAAATTACATTTGCACTTATCAGCCCTTGTAATTGGGGAAGAGAGGACGATGATGAAGAGCTGCCCTTAATGACTCCAGAAGTCCTTAACTATGTGAGCAGGGTGGATGTAGCTCCAGGAATTCTTCAGAGCACACCAGCTTATGGACATGACAGGATATGGAGACTTAAGTAGCTGGTCCTGTGTGCTAGTTAAAGTGATGGAGTGCAGAAGCAAGCTCCTTTGATGATAATCTTGACATTTTATCTTCTAACTTTGTTCTGTTTTTGCAAATCTTCGTTGTAAAATAGTTCCTATCCAAAGTCTGGATTTTAAAATATAGCTTGAAAAGACGTGAGAACCTTTATCCTTTTTTGTACGTATGTTGAGCCTTAAAATATGGGAACTGGACCACTCCTAAAGTTTCTTTTGGCAATCCAAAGGCAACAAGATATACCTCCCTGATTGCTTGTGCAGTGTGAAAGAAACCTCTTTCAGGGAGCAATGTTAACCAAAATACTAGTTTATAGGACTTTGTTTCTTGCAAGCTGGAATGGCCATAGTGCAGGGGCTGTGTACGTACTGAAGACAGCATGTTCCACTTAGCATCGGTCCACATGAAAACTGCAACTGTTGTATCTACAAGAGGCAAAGTCTTGGCCCTGGGGAAATCATGGCACCCTGCATCAACATGAAATCTTAACTTACTGTAGTTAATTTTTAGCATATGTTAGATTGTAATACGAAAATACATTTTTTTTCTGCTGAAAATGCAAGTCAAGAGGCTGAAAGAGAAGTGTTCAGTGCTGAAGCATGCTAGTATGTGTCAGACATTTCATACCTATGTATAATCTCTCTTTCTCTCCTCCTTCTCAAAGCCTGAAAACATAATGTTGTTGGACAGGAATGTACCAAAGCCTCGAATCAAGATTATTGACTTTGGCTTAGCACACAAAATTGACTTTGGAAATGAGTTCAAAAATATCTTCGGAACGCCAGAATTTGTTGGTGAGAAAACTGTTGTTTCTTCAAACTATTCACTATTCTTTCTCAGTCTGTGAAACGGTGTATGTGGCTTAGCTTGGTTTGGCTGAGTTACAGATAATGTAATTCGTGCGTAATTCATGACAGTCTGAGATTTAAATAAGCAATTTGTAGTGCTCAGTTCCAACTTGGATTTGCATTAAGGTGTTTCTATCTGTCAGCATCTTAGCTTGTTATCTCTGACATATATAGGCTCAGAGTGACATAGATCTGTTCTTTGACTAGGTACTGATCTTCCTGCTTTCTCCTTTAGCTCCTGAAATAGTAAATTATGAGCCTCTTGGTCTTGAAGCAGATATGTGGTAAGTTATTGGATCTTACTTGAAATAAATCTCTCATGATTATTCTTATGTTCTAACCTTTTTTTTTTCTCTCCTCTCTCCCCCTCCATCTGCTTCTCTCCCCTCTCCCTCATCCTTCCCCCCGCCCCCCAACCCCTTTCTTCACTCCAGGAGCATTGGTGTAATAACTTATATTCTGTAAGTACCAAAATCTATGGGTGGTTCTTGCAAATGCTGCTTGTTTTAATTCTGATTCTGTCCTCTGGGGTTTTGGTGGTGTCTGTACAAGTCAAATCGTTTCGATTGCACATCATGATTCAAGTTGAATGATCATAAAAGCAGTAGTATAATAACTGAAAGAATGGCCATTAATCAGCATTGAGATAGCATGGGAAGCTGTCTTCAGATCTGTGAGTGATTTTCCACAGCATCTTTATCTTAATCAATAGTTTCTGAAATTACAGCAAAGCTTTTTGCCCTGCTGGATCACATCTGCTTGAAAGTACGTTTGCAGTCTTAAAGCAGAAAAGAAAAAGGTTCACTTTCTGCTGTTGCTTGATCTCAGAGGGTTGAAACAGCAATGTTACAGTATGTAATGAGAGAAATGTTCGCTCTATCTTGCAGTTTAAGTGGTGCATCACCATTTCTTGGAGAAACCAAACAGGAAACATTAGCAAACGTGTCTGCTGTGAATTATGAGTTTGAAGAAGAGTTCTTCAGTAATACCAGTGCACTAGCTAAAGATTTTATACGAAGACTTCTAGTCAAGGATCCAAAGTGAGTTGTTTCTTGTGTGTATGTGCCGTTGCAGCCTATGTCTCTAGTATTTCAAATTCCATGATGTTTTGAGTTGTTAGTTTAATAAACATTTAGCAGTATGTATTTTTTACTATCTGAAACAGTTTCATCTTTTATTCTGTACAGGAAGAGAATGACTATTCAAGATAGTTTGCTGCACCCTTGGATCAAGGTTAGCATGTAATTAATTCTCTATTGTCCTGTTTTCAATCATTCTTCACTTCATACTTCACTTTCACTTTTCAAGTCCTTTAACAAGGAAAATTGGCATAATCCTTTAATATAACTTACTGTTTTGGAAAGCTGTCTGTATGAAACTAATACGTGCAGAATGAGGACTTCATTAACCTATCCTCTATATAAGTTAGCAGTAGGGAAGTAGCCCACTATTGAGATCAAAATCGTGCTTAGGCAGAGAAGCTAATCTTCAGGGAGTATTGCATTAACAAAAGATACATTCCTGAAGCCAGTCCAACTTTGTCTGACATTTTTCATCTTCTAATCTCCTTATTTAGACTGGGCATAAAAGGGTCATCTCAGTTCTATCTGTCCTCTTTAGACTGAAGAAAGCAGTTGATGCAGGGTGGTGGTCCACTTTCAGTGTTCCATGGTGTTTAGTTTGGATCAAGCTGTTGTGGTGCTACTAGACTGAGAAGGAGAAAATAGGACCTATCATTCTTCCTAAAGTATCTAGTAACACCTGACACTTAATTTTTTCAATTCCATATCACATTCTGATTGTGAGTAGTAAACCTCTTCAGTGCCATTGATTTCCCTGGGCTTGGGTATGCACAGTGGGTGTTTGACCTCATTCCACTTCCCAGAGAACCAGTTAGCAGAATAGTTGTCTGTGCCACAGCTGCTCCAGTTCATGGTTCAGCATCCTAGGGCAGACATTTCTACACCAATATGCCAAACTACAGATTTCACTGTGCTTTGCTGACTTTTTGGTGGGGTACACTTAAACAGCTGAAACTTGTTAAACGTGTTGAAATTATCTTTTAAACTGCCAAAGCAAGCATTGTCCAAGTTTTTTCTCTCAGGGACCAAGGTCTCCTTTCCTGCAACAAAACAAGTTGCTTTGTGCCTTGTTATGTTCCTTTATATCTTAACTTTCTGGGCATTCTCCTCCCACCCCACCGGTCATATCCTCTTTTCCCCCTTCCCATCACTACCTTTACCTGCATTTCCCCATAAAAATAACTTCAAGTATGACATCATATATGCAAAATTTGGTATACTCCACTGGTAACTGGTGCTTAGTATAAGCCTATAAGAAAGTTTAAAGTGTGCAGCCTTAGAGCTTGCTGCAGAGGTAGGTGGGATGTGATTTTTTTTGGGTCCCAGCAGTATCCAGCTGATTACACTGAGACTGGAAGAAAGTTTGACTGCATTTAAAATCAGCCAGGAAATCTTCCCAGAAGGTAAGATTTATCTAGGAGATGGTACCCAATGCCTCCATCACAGAGGGAGGAGAAAGATAAAGCTGAATATTCCTTTGGCTGTTGGCTTTTTTTTTTGTTTAAAAGGAAAAAAAAAATTAGTATTGCATGAAATATTCTTAGGTCTGGATTTTCTTTACAGCATATTCTCAAGAACTTCCATCCTCATGCCTCACTAGGCTGTGGATGTTAAAATGATGTGCTTACAATTACTTTATTATTACAGTATGATTGCAGTATCAATAAGTGGAAGTCATCACTGAAGGGCAGTCTTAAATGCAGGAAGCGGCTTTATGAAAGTTCTGGTTGTAATTCTGGGATATTTTACAACAGCTTTATTTTCCTTTTGCGCATAGCCTAAAGACACCCAGCAAGCACTTAGTAGGAAAGCATCTGCAGTGAATATGGAGAAATTCAAAAAGTTCGCAGCACGACGAAAATGGAAAGTAAGTCACTCAATAAATACTGGTGACGTACAAATGCAGTAGCATTACCTCTTCCAGGAAAACATCAATGCCTTTAAGAGTGGAGAAGAAGGAAGAAGAAACCCATTCCTCTGTCACTTGGAATAAATTAGATGCTTGAGTATGGTGGTATGGGCAAAGACTTCTTTGTTAATGACCTGCATACAAATGCTTGTGTGTGGATTGTTTGTTTTATGCATCTAGCTGTATGCTGTCATCATCTGTCTTGGTAATGTTTTCAGAGAAAATGCACTTCTAAGTGTAGATACATGTTTTTGTGACAGTAATCTCAGTAAATCAAGCATCCCTTAAGCAGGCATCACAGAATTCATTATTCCAGTAGTTACGCCAACACTCAACAGAGTAGGAAGGAAAAACTAGTCTCTTTTGCAAAGGATTTTTGGTCTGAGACTGCCAGACTGTTTAGAAGGTTGGCATCGCTTAATCATTCCAGCAGTGGAGCAAGGTATTAGCTGAAGGCATTGATCTATGCAAGGAGCAGTTCGTCGACGCAGTTACCCTTCCTCTTTCAGCGTGCACACTGGGGAATTCATGCTGATACTAAGCAAGGGCAAGACGATTGTATGAGAAATCTGGATTCCATGAGAAGAGATGAAACATGAGACAACAGAAGTTGCTGTTACTAGAAAAGGAGTTTTAGTCATTGTCATGGAGGCCAAGAAATGGGATGATTTTGCTAAGCTATGGACTAAAGGCACAAAATGTCCAGCTACGCAGAATGACTTTTTTGCCCCAGTTTAGTGTCTGTATTAGGTGAACATCTATGGTATTTGTAAAATTTAAGTAATAGTCTGCTGCCCTACAATGAAACACTGCCCTACAATGAAATGGTGGGTCTAGGAATATCTTAAACTGTTTTATAACATGGTGATTAAAGGAATGCTGTCAGCTAATTTACATTCAGTTTGGGTTTTCTGTGTGTACATACCTTAAAATGTGTACATTTAAATGTTTTCAACGTAAACAAGAAGATGTAATACACATCTATTTTGATTTGTATTTGAACAGCTTGGTGAAAAAGTAGCAATCCAGAAATACTATGTAGCTTTGCTTAGTGCATATGAATAGCCTGTTTGGATTATAAATGTCAAAAGAAATTGAAGGTTCAAATGCAATATAAGAAGGAGATGGGGGACGTTGAAGTCAAACTCCAGTTTGTTTTGCTAATATGACAGTATTCCTTTAAAATCCCTGCAATAGCATCTTATCACAAGTATTCTGTTTTGATTTTTTTTTACATATAGCTTTTTTCTTCTTATTTTTAAAAAGCAATCAGTGCGTTTAATATCCTTGTGCCAAAGATTATCAAGATCTTTCTTGTCCAGAAGTAACATGAGTGTCGCTAGAAGTGATGATACTCTGGTAAGTGTGTACTTATATGCTTAGAATGCTTTCCTACATCTGAAACTTAACATTTTCGGAAATGATTCTAACAGAAATATTGGATTATTTTAAATTTGCATAATTAATGAATCTCATATGTAGGAAGAAATTTTAAGGCTACAGAGGTCAGTTGTCCAGCCTGATCTTCCGCATGACACAAACTTTGAAATTTAATTTATTAATTACCAGCGTGATGCTGATAGCTAGTGCCAGAAATTAATCTGTCTTCATTTTGAAGTTGGATTCAGGAGGAATTTTTGTACTATAACAATTATAATGTGAAAAAGTTGCATCTGACTTTTTCATGGCACTGTGAAGAGTAAAATAATACTGCATTTTTTTTAACAGACTAGTCAAAATCATTGAGACCTTAGATCAGATGAATGCTAGACAGCAGTATCACAACAACCGGTTATTTAAGGAGAAAATTTTAAAGTTGGCCAGTGTTCAATTGGTGGTATGAGATATGTCTAGTAGATTTAAGTAGTCAGGAACAATCACTGTATGCTTTGTAATTACAAATGCTTGTAAATCCAAAAGCATTCTTATTTAGCTTACTCTCCAGGTTTTAATACACGCTTCACAAATTCCCTGTGATCAGCAAAGTACATACGTCAATATGTTTAGAGCTGGGTAACCTCATCTTTTCTGCAAAGCCCTTTTCATCCATATTCGCTTCCCTTTGTCCTTCCTGTGCAACTCCACATTCTCTTTCCACTTCTCCTCCTCTTATATTTCTGCTTCCATGTTCTCTGTTGTCTCAGTCCTGCCCTCTTTTCCCTGCTTCCCCCACTTCAGCTGTCAGTATGCCCTTTAACACTGGATCAGCAATTCACACCTGCGTTGCAGCAGAAAGGATTGTAGCCTAATGTTACTGTTCTAAAAAATCTGAAACCTCAGGAGAAAAGGAAGTAAGACTGATGGAAATACTGGGCTCAGTGAATTTCAGTTCTTTGATGTTTTAGTGCATGGGAGAAAAAAAAAGCTACAGCTGCAGATGTATCTAGGCTCATTACTTACGCTCTAGATTTTTAACTGGTCCATTTGAAGAGAGGAAAGCTTGGTCCAAAGTACCCCTCCTGTGTAATATTCCTGGATGGTGCAAAACTTGGTACTCCAGTTTGTATTTTTACCTCTTGGTTTTTTAATGTTAGCATATATCCATGGAGTTAGTTTCGTTTCATGGAAGTATTGCAACTATTGAAAGTCTTAGGAGGAAAAAGAAAACACACTTAATGAAAGAAACCTGTTTGGAATCTCGTGCATAACAGGTTCGTGTGTGATGAAGAGGGAAACATACACCAGAAGAAGTGTGGGGGGTTTTGGTGTGGGTTTTCAAATAATGTGCATTCATGTTTGTTAGCCATATGCTTCGTGAAGGATTGCAACTTGCAGCTGAAGCACTCTAAAAGACTTCAAAAATTTTACTGGTTTAAATTTTTTTTAGATGTCTTGGCAGCTGTTGAGATAGGGATTTTTTCCTTGAAGCTAACAATTTTTCTTTTTTCTCATTTAATTACAAGGATGAGGAAGATTCTTTTGTGATGAAAGCAATTATTCATGCCATCAATGATGACAATGTTCCTGGATTACAGCACCTTCTGGGATCTCTGACAAATTACGATGTCAATCAACCCAACAAGGTAGTATGGGTCTGTGTTGAGGTGCGTGGGGGACTAGTTATCACCCTGTTGAATAGAGCAACATGGTTGTAAAATAGAAATACAGCATCTGAAATAAAAAGGAAAAGACAAGTAGATGCAAAATAATTCTGCCTTTCTTTAGGAGAAATTTTAATGCAGTTTGTTTCAGTCCTCTCAAACTACCTGCAAATGGAGCCCAGAATGTTGGGGTTTTTTGTCTAGGCCTTTGAAAAAGTATATAATCAAATCTATCGTCAAGAGCTGTGTTACATCAGATATCAGTCTTTGCTTTTGTTAGCAGTTATTGGTTCTTGTGGCAGATGAAGAGGGCAGAATATGTAGGAATAACCAGACTGTCAAAACTGACTTTGCAAAGCACTGTTAGAAACAGAAGTCCCATACTGCAGAAATTGGTTATATGAACATGATGTTACATGGTGGTGTTCATTTTCAGAAATTAAATTACTTGTCTACTACAGTATTTCAGTGCGCTGCTGCTGTACTAATGGGAGTATTTGGAACTGAGGCCAAGAGACGAAATTTGTGTTGCTGGCTCTGCTGTTTAACCTTGGATAAATCATCTGTGCTCTAATTTTCACTTCTTTGAATGGTTACACTGACCTTCATTATAAAATACATTGAGAAATATTCATGAAGAGCACTATAAAAGTAAAGCATCTATTACTTTACTGTGATGGCATCTTGAACCTTTCAAGAAATCACTGTATTTTTTGTTTAATGGTGCAGTCCCATTTAACTATCCCAAATATTTCTGGTGGGTTGTGTCTTTGAGGTGGTGTGGCACACACCTTAGATAGTCTGGCTTAAAATGAAGGTATAAAGAAGTTGCAAAGTTGAACATCTTTGCCAAATTAGACTAATGAGAGGTTAACATTGATATTCCTAATTTGAAAAGCATGCCTTTAATGTGTGGTGGTGTATCATTTAGTCAACATGAATTCATCCCAAAAATACGCAATGTTGCTGTGCAATAAACTTCTTTGGATAAAGGGAAAAAATATTTTTTATACAGTATTCCCTGAGAAGTCTCAATTTTAAACTGGAGACCCAGAGATGCCATTCAATGCCTGCCTTTTATTCCACTCTCTTTTCTTAATTCTTCAGAAATTAAATACATTGTTCTTGCTTGTATTTCACTGTTAGCATGGAACACCTCCACTACTGATTGCTGCTGGCTGTGGAAACATTCAGATGCTTCAGTTGCTTTTAAAGCGTGGATCCCGAATTGATGTTCAAGATAAGGTCAGGGTTCTGCTTTGTCACTATTCTGTATAAGTTTTTCAGTACAGTTAGCAGAGGACAAGAAATTCAGACCAAGTTGTATTGGAAATCAAAAAAATCTGGGCTGTAGAGCCTTTTTTCTGACTTCCACAGCAAAAAGATAAAAGCAAATCTTTAATAATGTCATTTATTACTAGTGCATATCCTCTGATTGTGATCACTTTATTAGCTGAAGTAATTTGAATTTACTGATCGTAAAATGTAGTTCATGCTTACAGAATTGCCTCAATTAGTTCAAATTAGTAATTGCCCTAAAACACAGTGGTGAACTTTATTTAATATGGAATGATAAGTGCACATTTTCGCAGTGAAGAATATTGCAACTAAAACCCATATGTGATGGAGGGTATGCTTTGCAACAAGCTTCTTTTCAAAATGTGTTGTAATGGCCTGGAGTCACTTAAAGGTAACCTGAAGCACTATCTGCTTCTCTGTGTAATAGATGGTAAAGTAAGGAGCAGAAAAGTTTTTCTCTCATGACTGTTCTTTCCAAAAAACTCCCTTTCAAAGGGGAAGAGGATTATGCTTGCAAACAGTTAGTGATCCTGTTAATCATCCTTTCATAGAGGGGTTTTTGTGTTGTTGGTATGTGGAGTTGTTGAACCAATTTGAAGATCTTTTTTTAAAAAAGTAAATACGTTCATATAAGCTTCTATACATCTCTGTACATCTAAGTGCATGTATACCTCAGTTGAAAATCTACAATTAGGATTCTAAATTGATCGCTAACATTTGTAATTAAATATTTTTGGAAGGCTGGATCTAATGCAATCTATTGGGCTTCTCGACATGGTCATGTAGAAACGCTGAAATTTCTCAATGATAATAAATGTCCTTTGGATGTTAAGGATAAGGTAAGAAAAACATTCTTTTCATTTTTTCATGCAGAGACTTTTCTTTTTTAATAACTTTATCTTAGCAAAGAGAGAGGTCTTTCAATTGGAATGATTTTCAGCTGTGCTATAATTCCAAGAATGTGACTGGCTTTTTTAGTGTGGTTTTATAAGCTGACATACAGGGCTGTGATAACACAGCTTTAAAGTAGCTGGTTGTACTGATTATTTTCCTGACAAATGTTAACCAAGCATGCATATTATATGTGGTGAGTACATGGTGGGTAGGTGGGGAAGTACAAACCTAAATTAATTTTCACTTGAAGACTACATTTCTCATTGGAACTCAGGGTAAAATCGTGATTCTGTTTTTCATTCCTCTTGATTGAAAATCACTTTTGTCTGACAAGTAAATTTGACTGTTATTAAGTTGAATATAATGAAGCCCAAGAATTGATAGCTGATGAGCACTTACCTTGTCTCCCAGCAGTGTTACTTGAGCAGCATTTACCCTAGAAACTAGTTGCTGTTAAAATCTTATACCGCAGTGATGTTTTTATACTAGCCAAAGCTCCAGTACAGAGGCAATTACACTTGTGGAACACAGTTTGCTTTGTTGAGGGAGCTGGTGCAAGGCAGGGCACACTAGCAAAATTAGTGTTCAACTCCTGATAAAATACACCAGGATATACCAAGGTGTTATGTCATCTCCCTACATTTGTATATACAGGGTAGAGGGTGGGCAAAGGGAAATAGTATGAATAGAAATGCAACATCTGTTTCAACATCAATTCCACATACAGGTGTTGCCTCATACTGCTCAGAAATCCAATTGTGGCTGTGTCCTGGAACAAACTTAAGTAGGAAAATAAGTTCTGAAAAAGGAAGGCCTTTGAGGAAATAACCTGTCAGGTGGTGGTGTATCTGTCACATACAACTACAGTTTGTTAGCAGGAGATCTCTGCTGACCGCAGCTGTGCTGCTGGGTTATGGGGGGGGCAGGAGTACCCCGTGCAGCATACAGGCATTCAGGTTGTACATGGCAATGCATATCTGTGGGTGACATTTGAAATTACACTGGCATGTTCTTCTGTAATTGCAGTCTGGGGAGACCGCCCTCCATGTCGCAGCTCGGTATGGGCATGTGGACGTGGTTCAGTTTCTCTGTAGCATTGGGTCCAATCCAAACTTTCAAGACAAGGTGAGTCATGGACACTGTCTGTTGTTTTTCAACAAATAAGGCTTTAGTATGAGTGGTCAAAACTCTTAGTCTTGCCTTGCAGCCTCTGGCATATTTGCATTTGAAAAAAAAATAACAGAATTACGGAGGTTTCCATACCTCTGTAATAGATGAAGCCTGTACAAAAAACAGTGTGCAAAGATGAAAGTTTAAACATGGAGAAACTCAACATCACTAAGGCATGGCTGATGTGTGCTCTGTGAGTTCAGCTAAAGTTTTTTTATTAGTTTTTGCCTTGACTTCAGCTTGGTTTTAGCCATCATGGGACTTCCCTGAAGTGTCAAGCACTCATTTTTGAAAATGAGAGGAGGGCTCAGGAGGGCTTCTTTAAAGCTCTGAATTCTTCTGAGAAAACAGGAAAGAAAAGGCGTAATAGAAAAAAAATCCATTTGACCAAAATTTAACTTTGTGTGGGACTTGCACAAGCCTCCCCAACTGCTGCATCCTCTAGAACTGCCTTTATATTGTTTAAGCAGGGGCCAGGGGACCACAGGATGTGCTGTTTGACTGTTTATCTTTTTCCTCAGACTTTTACAGAAACCTTGAATACATTCCAAGTCCTCTAATATTATCAGCATCGATTGTCTCCTTACTGATATTTGCCAAGTACAGAAAGGATATCCCATTTCTTAGAATTTGATAGAATGACTTTCTTGGTGGGTTTTAATCCTCCTTGCTTTTCAGTGGGCTACTTTCAATAGTGTATTTTTGTAAAACATTTGAGTTTCTTAGTGATGTTCCACATAACTGTTACGAAGTACAAGGAGATTAAAGGTCAGTATTTTGAAGCTTCCTGGGTTCAAGCAAAAAGCAAATTAGAGCTTCAGTCACAACGGAACTCAAAATGCCTCCGGTTTCAAACGCTTGTTGTGATGCATATTTAAAGGACTTGGGTTTGTATGTACCCAAGTCACTGCCTGCACTCCTAAATCATTAGGATGTGCTTTTTGAACACGATAAGCAGAGTGATCTGCCTCCAACTGCAAGTCTAGTGGGATTTGCATCTCCTTGGTGAGTGATCTGTTTTAAACACTGGATTAGTCCCTCAACACACAGGATGTAGAAGTTGCTTATGAATGAGGATCAGTTCTCAAATAAGAGAAGCAAGATAGTTAGCTTCAGGAGTTAGCTTCAAACTTCTAAACTAAGATTAGTGACATGCAAGGTGTTGTCAGTAGATAGTTTTATGATGAAAATCTAGTGCATTACCATTATCACTTGGTACATCAGCAGAAGTTACTCTTGCTTTGAGAACGTCAGCATTAGAAATTACATCTTTTTATAGGACTTACTTAGTAGCCTGTCTTTCTTCTTTTGTGTCATCTTCCTGTCTTTCTAGGTTAAGCTGGGGAATTGTTCTTCCTGGAATTTGGTTCAGCTCTGTTGTTTGGTTTTTCTATTTTCCATGTTGATAGGAAGAAGAAACCCCACTGCATTGTGCTGCTTGGCATGGCTACTACTCTGTTGCCAAAGCACTCTGTGAAGCAGGTTGCAATGTGAACATTAAAAACAAAGAAGGGGAGACTCCGCTCCTGACAGCATCTGCTAGGGGATACCATGATATTGTGGAATGCTTGGCAGAACACGGGGCTGATCTTGATGCAACAGACAAGGTTAGTTTGCATTGCTTTTGGTCAGGAATTTTGTCCAGATATCGCAGGTGTCACAGAGCCGTATCTCTGAATTGCTTCATTTGAGTGCTGCAAGCCAGCATTGTTTCCATGACGTGGGTTTTCTGAGCAATTCACACAGAGACTATTAATGACTGCAATGGTCTTTAAAGTTGCCCACTGATTATTTTTCCACAGTTTGTTTTTTGGTGATTCATTATCACCTTATCAATTATAACCTTATGAGTAACACTATGAAAAATGGCAAGAACATTGCGTTCTGTAATTGGCAACAAACTATTAACTTAAGAAAAAAAGATGGCCTTACTGTTTGCTTTGATTCCTGTGGGTTGGATAAATCACACTGATTTCCAATAAGCTAAATTCTGACTATTTAAAAACATAACTCTATTTGATTCAGGGTAGGTTTTTGTCTTTCACAGTGTAATCCCAACAAAAAAATTCTGCATTTCATTGCTTGTACTTTGGGTATGCTTGTCCTTTTAGCTACCTTTATTGCTGGTAGTTACTAAATAGTTAGTAAAGCAAGTTCAGAAAAATGCTTTTGCCTTTAAAAGAATTTTTTTTTCCAGTCACATTGTCTTTTTAAGTTGTTTCATAGAGAGAGAAAGCTCTGTTTGTAAAGATCGCTAAGCAGATTGTTTGACTTATGCATCACTAACTTCTGTCAGTAAACACTAGAGTCGTTTACAATATTCAGCTGGTTGTTACAACTGGTCACTCTCCCATATCTTAGGGAAGTCGTTAGTAGAGAATGTGTATCTGCATTTCACCCATTCCACTGCAAAGGCCAGTGGCTTAATAGAAATTTGCTTTCATCCCATAGCTGATTTGTTCTGACAGATACTGTGCATCTCCCTGCCTCTACCCCCAAAAATAAAAATAAAAACCATTGTGATTCTTGAGGCAAGGAGATGCACCCAGTTACATGAAAAGATTGTGCCTCTGCAAATTTGATTTTTAGCATTATTAAATCTCACTTACAAGCTGTCTTGTGATTTCAGGATGGTCATATAGCCCTACACCTTGCCGTGAGGAGATGTCAAATAGAAGTAGTTAAAACTCTCATCAGTCAAGGATGTTTTGTGGATCTCCAGGACAGACATGGCAACACTCCCTTGCATGTGGCCTGCAAAGATGGGAATGTTCCTATTGTGATGGCACTCTGTGAAGCAAGTTGTAATTTGGATGGCACTAATAAGGTAATTGGAATATGGGTACTGAACTACTTTGTTTAATAGCTCACATATCGCATTAGATGACCTTTTTTTCCAGGTCTTTGATAGGAAAAATGTTTTTCCTTTTTTTTTTTATCTCTTAAAGTGGCCAAATGCAAAGCATTAAATGATTCGCCTTGCAAATCTACCTCTTTGTTTCAGTTTAATATATGATTAAAGATCCATGAAGAAAGAGCCCAAGTGAATTTCCACAGTGTATTTTGCCTCTCAACTCTAATCTTGAAGTACATGCCAATCTTCTTCCCTACCTATGTAGCTTTGCTTTGTGCAGATTACATCTAAGCACTGAAGAACAAATGGAATACATTGCTTCTGGCCTTGATTTGATGCAATTTAATAACAGTAGTTTATATACAGAATTGAAGACTGATACATTTTTATGAAAAATCTGCCTTGAATTCTCCAAATTACATTAAAAGATGTGCACTCTCATCTAACAAAGGTTTTAACTCAACTGCAGATTCTATTCCTGGTTATAAAAATAAGTGTCATATTGGCTGTTTTTTTGGTTTTCTGCACTGAGTTGATTTATTAAAATAAATCCTAATCAAACATTTATCTTAGAATAGAATAATTTATCTATTAAACAAATTATGACTGGCAGGATACAGGAAATCTCAGAATTAAAGTGTTAAATGTGAAATTATTTTCAGAAGTTGAAGTCAGCAGTTTGAGTGAGGTGCTTTTTGGGAACTTTGTTATTGATCGTTGTTTCACACACATGTAGCAATTGCAGAAACACTTGGTAAACACTATAAACCTGAAAATGTTGATTCTAGTGTGTATCTAGCATGCCAGCTAAAAACATGAACTGTGCAATAATTGTTGTAAGCACTTTCCAAAGAGAATGGTTTTTAATAGCCTGTCCCTAAACTTTGAAATACTAGTGCCTTGTTTGCTTCTTCTGTTGTGGTAGTGCTGCATTGTATGGGATAACTGAATGTGATGCTTTATGGGTTTAATATTCTGGCTTTCCTCCTAGAGATGTTTAAAAGAAAAGTAACCTGTTTCAGGAAACTTTTCATTAGTTTGAATAGGTTAAGGTCAGCCATTGGACTCTGCTGACAGGCTATGGGGCTTAAGGCTTGATTTTTAGCTCTGTCTTTCTCTGCCCTATATTATTTTTGTATGCTACAAAGTTTAAGTTATTCAGAGGAGTCTTTATGTTGGTGTCTGCAATTTGTTTGATTCAGGTGTTGCAGCTTCTTTGTTTTACTGAAGAAGTATTTATTCTGGCAGTAACATTTTGCTAGTCAACACTTCCACTCATTACCAAAGTACTGACCTTCTCTGTATTAGCCAGCTGAAGAAAGTTGTGGGGCTTCTGGCTTCAGGGTTGTCCAGTGCAATCATTTTTGGTTTTAATAATTAAAATTGTCAGCTGCCAAGTGAAAAAACTTACAATAATGAGCTCCCCAGTCCTGCCTCTGAGCTTAAACCTGATTGACTAGGCAATTAAATACAGATCCACAGCTGAGAACATGTTTTGGGGAAGATGAGTTAATGCAGCACAAGGCTGGATTAGCACCTCTTTTCATAATGGAGAATGATGAGCTGGCATCTGTGGCCTGGCCACAAGCATGCTGTGGAAAACAGTCTTCAACTGTTCAGTGGGATGAAGCTGTGAAGCTACAGAAGCTGTGGTTAAGGTTTGTGTCTTGTTATTCTTTGAGGAGTCATGTACACTAGAGTGATTTTTACAGTGCACTTTATTTGGAAGGGGGAGTTTGGGTCTTACCGAGTAGAGAATCTTTGTTTCTACTGGTCATCTTCAGCAGTGAGCCCTGTAATGGGAGTGCATTTGTCTAACGACCATTCATCCTTCTTCCTCACACCTGACATTGTCCCACATGTACATAGTAATGATTGAAAGCACTGTTTTTTCCACAGACTCTGTGCAGTAGAACATCATATGAATTTATTTAGAATCATAGAATCATGGAATCATTTAGGTTGGAAAGACCTTTAAGATCATCGAGTCCAGCTGTTAACCTAACCCTGCCATCCCACCACTAAACCATGTCCCTAACTACCTCGTCTACCCATCTTTTAAATACCTCCAGGGATGGGGACTCGACCACCTTCCTGGGCAGCCCATTGCAATGCTTGACAACCCTGTCAGTGAAAAAATTTTTCCTAATGTCCAATCTAAACCTGCCCTGGTGCAACTTCAGACCATTTCCCCTTGTCCTATCGCTTGTTACTTGGGAGAAGAGACAAACACCCATCTCACTACAGCCTCCTGTCAGGCAGTTGTAGAGGGCGATAAGGTCTCCCCTCAGCCTTCTCTTCTCCAGGCTAAACAACCCCAGTTCCCTCAGCTGCTCCTCATCAGACGCAGACCCCTCACCAGCTTCGTTGCTCTTCTCTGGACATGTTCCAGAGCCTCAATGTCCTTTTGTAGTGAGGGGCCCAAAGCTGAACACAGTATTGGAGGTGGCAGCCTCACCAGTGCCAAGTACACTGCCCTACTCCTTCTGGCCACGCTATTCCTGGTACAAGCCAGGATGCTGTTTGAGTTGAGGTGTAGGGTTTTGAGAAGCCAGGCACGTTTTTCAGTTTCCAGTTGTCAGAAAATTAGTTTTGCTTTCAAATACTTTCATGAAGTAATTTTGTGAGTTTGTTTCTCAATGTAGGGTTGAAACAGGGAGAACAGTATTGAAAGCATGAAAATATGTGAAGTAATAGTCACAGGAGTTAGTAGTCGTGTTTATAATAGTAGCTCTGAACATGAAAGACACGAAAGTGGATGTCATGAGGACCCGTTGTTGGTGGAGGGATTCAGGGGGAAAAACAAAAATTGGGAAAGCAATACTACAACACTTGCCCTCTGTCAGTGAAAGCACAAATTCCTTCAGGCTGACTTCTTGCATTCATCTCTTTTGTTCCTGTGGGTGGAGACTGGAGATAGGTAATCTTCAGTAATACTTGGATTGAAATGGAATCCAGAGCTTTAAAGGTTAAGGACGTAGTGTTGCTTAACTGGTTCATATTTAATTAAGCAAAATGCAGTTATATTTACTGGGAATTAGAAAGACGTTCTCAAATACAGCCAAAAAACTTTAAAGGATTCCTCTGCAGTTGCGGAGGGTTTAGCTACAAAATTGTTTCTCACTTTTTAAGTAGTCAATCTGTCCCTTCTTTTTGAGCTTTAAGCAGTTGTGCTTAAGCTGTAATCAAAAGTACTTTTTCTTACAGTTTTTGCAAGACCTTTGCTGTGTATCAGTACATATAATTGTACATTCTGTTTTATTACTAGTCATAAAATTTGGAGTGGAGTTATTTGACTAACATAATGACCTTTTTTTTCCCCATGTTAGTATGGAAGAACACCTTTACATCTGGCTGCAAACAATGGCATTCTTGATGTTGTCCGGTTCCTGTGTCTTACAGGTGCCAATGTAGAAGCTTTAACCTCTGTAAGTATTGAGAGACACTGCTATGCTTCTTGCTTCTTTAGGTATGATAGTAGGAAACTAATTTATCTCTTGGGAGAGGGGAGGGGGCAGGGCAACGGTCTCACACAATTATATTTTTAAATTTACAAGAAAAAAGTATGTCCACAGCTTGAAAAGCATTCTCTGTTGTCCATTTGTTCCTTTTCTACAACTGAATTTGAAACTGATTAAGGTGCAGTACAGCTACCACTTAATCTACACCTAAGAATTTCTTCACCTAAGAATTACTTGCAGCGTTGTGTTTTCTGTAAGCACAGTGGGCCACTGTCATTAAGTTGTATGTCATTCCACATCATGTACAGTTACCATACAAATGTGTATATCTTAAATATTTTTCTTGCTTTCAGAGGATTTAAAAGTTTCAGTTTCGAGGTGGGAGATGTGTGGGTGCATGGATGAGTGAACTAGCATGCAACTATCCTTGCAAAACAAATCATTATGTCAGATCAGTCAGCACCACTGCTTCCAATTAGCACCACTGAAGTTATTTTTCATTCTCACTACGGTGAGAAACATCCTCCTAGCTGACATATCCACACCAGGAATGAAGTGTCCTCCTCCACCATGCTCGCTTCACACGCACTTGGTACATTATAGGCGTCATACACACCATTACCTGTGTTTTGGACAAACTAACCAAGTTTTATTTTCAGATGCATTAGATCAGTTTACACTGCTACTCGTCCTAAAAAGTGCATTCTTCTCAGAAATAACTGTTACTCAGTATATTGAAATAATGTTGTGATTAGATTTTAGTTGAGTCCATGTTTTTCAAAGTTCTCCTTGTGAAGTATCCCTGAGATGGCTGAAATGGAGGGAAAAAAGAGAAAACTTCTGTTTCATTTACTTTATACTTTTGGTAGAAATACAAATGGTTTTGTTGTTTTCCTGTACATCTAGCACTGTGCTTTTTTCCTCTGAACATGTATCTCGTGGCAGGAGGAAGCCTTCAAAAAGCAGTCATTAAAACTAGTGAACTTGGAATTGTGGCTTAAACAAGTTTAACATCTAAAACTGACTTTTTGATAGCTACTGGATTGTAGATTGCCGTGTCCCCTATTAATCACTAATAATGAAACATGCATGCAGTGGAATTTGTGGGGTGTTTTACAGATTTTCCTTTGTCACCTGTTTTTGTCCCTTTTTTTTTTCTTTTTTTTTCCTATTTCTTTCTTTTGTATGTCCCATTGTGTGTCTGTATTTTTGCTACTACATACTGTAGAGATAAGATAGAACAAAAAGGTGATGGGGAGATGCTTCAGCTGTATCACTTTTATGTCATGACAGCTGTGTTGGTATAATTGCCCATGTGGACCCTGTCCTTCCAAAATAAAAGCACTTTTTATCTCTTTAGTTTAGGTCAGTTTGAAGGAAATAACAAAGTAAATCACACTGATACTAAATCCGGCAGGAGAGGTAGACTGAAAATACATCCATTATACTATCCATTATTCCAGCAGTGCTGTGGGAGAGAGAAGGGAAAAGGAGGAGAGGAAGGGAGGAAGTGCCTGTGGTGATTTTAATAGCATTTCAGTTTTGCCTTAGTTTGCTAGGTGGATATTAAACTGTTCTGAAAAGTCTTATTAACAGGTCTTCCTCAGCCAGTGCAGTAGGATTAATTACTTTTTTCTTCCCTCACAATTTTTGAGGAGTTAACTTTTTCAGCACTGTTAAGTAACTGGGCTGCAGTATGATATATCTTCTTGCCTCCTTCCTAGGCTGAAACCCGTTTTAAGACTAGTTTGGTTTTGAATTTGATTGCATGAGTGTTGTCAAGTGACCTTAGAAAACCTTAAATTTAATAATACAATTATTTCAAATGTTTGAATATCCCCCAAAAAATTCTGTTGTGCCCGCATGCTGGCTGGCACCATGTTCTTGGCTTCTCCTCACGGAAGTTTCTAAAATTGTACCAAGTTTAAAATTGTGAGGTAGCTTAAAAACTTTGGATGATGATGCTTGCAAATGGCCAGCTGAAATCCAGACCAGCTCTTGCAGGCATAGCTGTCTGATTGGCAACAAAGGAGCCAGTCAGCACTTGCAATGAAATATTACCACCAGGTGTGAAATATGCTTTCATGGATCCTGTAACCAAGCCCTTTTCAGATGCCAGCTTTGCTTACGCGTTGCTATTCCACTGTATAGATACCCTGTGCTTTTTCAAGAAAGCTTGAATAGGAAAATAACTTACTGAAACCCGTTCACTATTTTGGTTTTGTATGTATTTTCTAATTCTTCCTGTGCTCTACAATTCATCCTGCAGTGGACATCCAGAGAATGAAACAGCCTCATCTTGTTCACAGTTTGGACAAAAAAGGGAACTTTGTTCCCTTAATATCTTTTTCATGGAAGCAAATGCTTTTTCCACCTGTTATCTAAATCAGTAAATTGAGCTTCAAGTTCAAAGCTGGGAGTCAGGGGCCAGGTCAGTGGGATGCATGGCCTCACGCAGGCATATAGCTGTAGTGTTGCTCAGGTGAGGACCAAGGGCAAAAGCCTCAACCTAAGAGCAATGGCCAAGCAAAAGGTAGTGGAAAAGCCCTTGATGGGTACTTCTTTTCAGGTCTTCCTCCTTCACAGCAGTCTGAACCAAGGTTAGACAGCTGTATCAGACAGCTGGTCTTCAGCTCAGGAGCCTGTTAGGAAATGGGGAGGGAACTCTGGGTCATGACAGTACCATCCCACAGGTACAGGTGGGCTTGCTCTGCGCACACATCTGCTTAGACTTTTACAATTTGAAACATTCTTGTTGCCACTTTTCCAGTTCGGGGAGCAGTAGCCTCCATCTCATTGTAAACACACTCACTGATCAGGCTCTGGCCAAGCCACCGCCATCCATACTCCTTGCCAAATACTCACCAGATGGTTGTTTCTTTTGTGTTTGTGCCCAAATACCTGTGACTGAGCTAAACAAACAATGTATCAGAGTACAGTTGTTTAGCCAAAGCCAGGCTTGAAGCCAGAACAAACCCCCACAGAGCAATGAGACACAGCAAGCAAGGGTGGAAAGTTACCATGGCAGCTGTGGCATACCCGCCAAGAGGTGTGGGACCTGCTCTGATTCAGGGTGACAGTGCAGGGACCTGTTGCTGCATATCTGCTTGGTGCTGGAGTTTGCCAGGCCATCTCCAACCTTACATTGCAACAGCAACACACTGCGCTCTGGAAGAGTGCAGGGCCAGGCTGTAGCACTCCTGCTTTGGACTTAAGAGGAGACCAAACAGTTGTGCATCCAGATGAAATTCACATTTTAGGTTGGTGAAGGCCGCATCATGTTACCACAGGGGTTCTCAGGAAGGGGATCAAGCTTTCCCCTTTATTCACAGGTTTTGGATTACCCTGGATGTGCCCAAGAGTGGAAACTTGGGAAACACTGGAAGTGTTGAAGCAGTTCTGATGGCAGGCTAGCTGCCCAGCCACTGGACCACTCTTCCTCTCATACAACAGGCACTCAGGATTAACTGGGATTGGAGGGTAGGGTCAGCACAGACAAAGAGATTCTTCCCCTTTGATACATCTTCTCTAAGGAAAATTAATTTTAAAAAATACATTCAGATGTTTATTTTCTAAACTTGCAATTACATGTCAACTATAGAAAGAATTTAAAGATAAGGTATTGGTTCAAATTTAGTCAGTTCACACCATCAGCTACAATTTTGACTGTTTCTTACTAATATTCAGTATGAATTATCTGAAGTTCTGGAGTACATATTAAATGTTATGGAAACCTGAAAATGGCTTCTGTAGGTGGATACTCAATTGTCAAAGATACTTATTTCATATGTAGGGATGATAATTGCAGTAACCTCAGGAACTACTTAAGCAGACTTCACATGAAAAAATAGTAAAAACAAAGATAGAAACCCAAGAAAGAGATCTCAGTTTTCCAGTACTACTACTTAGTAATTGAAAGCTCTTCTCTGAGAAAGTGAAAGAAGCAAAGTGCTCACAAATTAGTTACCTCTTACTGGAATTTAAAACAATACAATAGCATTAATGTAGTTGTAAAGGTGAAAGTAGTGAGCAATTTTTCTTTCAGCCTATTTAATGTTAAACTGCTGACCTGTGAAACACGGGTAATTAAATGGCAAGACCAGAATGCTGAAGGCAGCTTTGCTTCTCCTTTTAAATTCGCTGACACATTTTAAACCACATCCCTTACAATTTTCTTGCTTTGTGGAAACCTGCAATGACTGATATGCCACTGTCATTCTTTATGCATTAGTAAACAGAATTCACCTGCTATTCATGTGAGTGAATATTCTGATGTGACCCCTCTTTGTAAAATGTTTAAATTCCTAGGTCTGTTCAGTATGTAAATATCTAGAAATGGCAGTCATCCTCTAATTGGTGAGAAGAGAAGAGGAATTCAGATCGGGAGTATTGGAATTGCTCTCCAGCTCTGAATGCAAAATATCTTGTTACAGTGGCATCCAGATGCCAATTTATAAAAGAAGTGCCACTGTTTTACATTGTACCATATTTTTTTTTGACAATTTAAAAAAACCAGGGATTGTGGTGGAGGGTAATTGTTACTGATTGGTTTTGGTTTTGTTTTTTTCTTCTTCCTGTTTCATTTGCAACTGACAGCAATTCTGTTACTGCCTTGAGCAGTCAAGCTATGTTGCTCGTGATTTTTTTATTGTGGGCAAAATGAAGGAACTGCTGCTAATAATTTGTGTTTTAACAGGATGGGAAAACAGCAGAAGATCTCGCCAGAGCAGAGCAGCATGAACATGTAGCCAGTCTGCTTGCAAGACTTAAAAAGGTTGGGAATGCATTAATTTTAACTGAGGTTTTTGTGGTTTTCAGATACCAAGAAAAGTTAGACCGTGGGAAATCATAGGATAAGATATTCATGAAAGCTGATCTAAAAAGCTGTTGCAAAAATCCGTACTGGAATGGTGTGTCTTTGTGTCTTTTTTTTTTTTCCCCCACCTCTTCATTTTTTTTTTGAAATGGTGGCCTCAGTTAAAGCTAGTCTGTACAAATTAAGAAAAATGGCTAAGCTAGTCTGCACCACTGATTTATTTTATCCTGTCTCTGACAATGCCTAGCAAAGCATTTTAGTTAGATTAAGATTTAGATTTTAGTTAGATTAGGTTTATGAGGGATGAGGGGTCTGTGCCCCTTATGGAAACTCTAATACCATGTGGAATTGTTACATAAGTTCTTAGTGTCTTTTATTAATTCTGCGATTTCAGTATCTCCAAATACCCTGCAAACTAGAACGCAAAACTGAGCTGGGCTTGTTGTAAGGCAGTAAGTCTGACACATCTGATACATGTTGATTATTCTGGATAGGCAGCATCACTCATGCTGTGAAGGTTCAGGGACCACTTGCCTGGAGATTGCAGGCAACAGCCAGACCAATTAAAACAGTCCTGTTTTAATTACGCTGATGGATCTGTGGAAAACTGAAATAAATTACCATTTCAGAGTAGCAATGGAATATGTGTACCAGGCATTGCCAAGGTGGAAGTAGAGTCATGTCCTTTAGTCCTGCCAGTAACTCTATACTTGCTAGGATTGTAAAATATGTTAGTGAAGATGTCAGAAAATGCCGAAGTTCAGGCTTCCTGTGCAATGATAGCTTTTGTAAATGTTTGTCATAACAGGATCCATTCTGCATGGTTGTATCCCCACAATGAACCCTTACCTGTTTCTGCGTGCAGGTGGATAAATTTGTGATTTAGTCACAATGTCAATAGGGATCTAATATGAATTGACCTAGAACAAAAGGGAGAAGATCAAATAAATCTATTCTGAAAGAGATCTTAGTAACAGTAACTCTCTTCTTGATAGCAGAATATACTTAATTATTGAAGGTCTGCCTATATATGTGGGGAAAATCTAGGATAATTATTTACTTCATCAGGCTATACTTTGCAAGGGATCTTTACAGATAAACTGATCAACTGAAATTAATAAATGACATAAAACCAGTGAAAAAATTCCAGTACTACTCAAAATGGTCAGTATCATCTTGTAGAGAGTGTACCTGATGCTTGTTTTATTTTCAGTGCCTGTGGAGGGTTTTGTCCCTAATAGCACACACATGAAGAACCTACTGTCATAGGGGCTCTTGGAGGAGATTCAGTATGAGCCATGAGGGTGTGCAATATTTGCATTGTGACTAACTTATTTAATAAATGCCTGTTAGCAAGGAAGGAACTAAATTATATGCACAACTATTTCTGTCAAATTTCTCAGCTTAATTGCTGCATGCTTATAATTTTGGGGGGCTGTAGGTGCTCGTTTAATGACTCATCCTACATGTTAAATTCAGTACAAATGCAGAACAACAGAGCTGTTCTCTCAGTTCAAAATGGGGGAATGAAAGAAGGGAGGATGAAGCTAGTTCCTTTCCCCTTCCACCTTTCTGCTGTCTTCCTGTTGCCTTAAAACAGGTCTTTCTGTGGCGAGAGACACTTAATAGTTTGCTGACCTGCACTGCGTCCCCTTGTTGAGTTGATTTTTCAAGCTCAGCTTATGTGGGAAATAGAGCATTCATCTGTGATTGCCTCTTGCTGGACAAGGAGAAAAGACAGATTTGATTTGTTCATTCCCAACTCTGTCTTCGGCAGGGACAGAAGGAGTATCCTTCAGATACTGCAAGACAAGATACATGGGTAATGGGGGAGCTCAAAGTGGAAAGCTCTTCTGTAGGAGATGTGATTGGGTTTGAGGAAGGCCTGTGTAGTACGTTGAAACTGCAGCTGTGGAAGACACAGTGAATGCACACAGAAGGCAAACTGTGACAGGAAGATTAAGCAGGGAGGCAGATCTATTGAGGCCTGGGAGTAAAGAGGGAGACCAGATGTACACTTGCAGTAGAGGGGTAGAAAAATGGGAGGTGAATAATATGCAAGAGGTCTTTTAAGTTAAAGAAGAAAAAGTGTGTGGGGAAAGGAGAGATAAGAGTGGTCTGGGAAAAGCAGTATTGACCTTGCAAAGAACTGAAGTGGAAATAGAGAACTGGGCAGGGGGAGGACAGAGCAGGAAGAGGAGAATTCTCCCAAACAGGAGAAACACAGAAAAAGTTGATGTAAAGGAGAGGGGAAATGCACATCAACTTTTCGGATTGCTCAGGTGGTATAGCTGTCACTGCAAAATTCTTCAATTTGGATATTGGTTATGCTACTGAGATTGTCAGGTAGGGAGAATGGGTACTGAAAGAGGCTAGTTTTTCCTCCTTTGTGCTCTCCATCAGAGGTCAAAATGATCTCATTCACTGATGTTGAGCCTGAAGTCATATGTGATTTTCATGAAGACCCAAGGTAGCTGTTGAGAGCAGCCAGCTCTGCCTTGTCTACATGTTCCTGCCCTTCTGCCAGTAACTGATGACTTGCATGATGAGCAGATGGAGGAACTGATCAGATGGAAGTTCCCTGCCACATGTTCAGATTTCTTCTTTATGTTGAATTTTAGGATACGCACCGGGGGCTTTTTATCCAGCAGCTGCGGCACACACAGAATCCGCAGCCCCGGATCAAACTGAAGCTGTTTGGACACTCTGGCGCTGGGAAAACAACCCTCGTGGAGTCTCTCAAGTGCGGCCTGATACGAAGCTTTTTCCGAAGACGTAGGCCTAGGCTCTCCTCCACAAGCTCAACCAGATTCCCCCCATCTCCTTTGTCTTCCAAACCTTCAGGTATGGCTTTGAAGATGTAATGTTTGAATGAGAAAACATTTTCCTCTTAGTCTGTGTTGCTCCTAAGTAAGAACTGTTGGCTGCACTGCAAAAGACAGAACAGGCTAAGCATGTAAGAAACCAAAGCAAAGTGGAGAGAGTATTGACTCTGTGTGCAGGCTTGCACCTAGAGTAGGAGCGAAGAGGAGCCGCAGGTGTGGAGGGTGTAGGAGTAGATACGGTTTTGTTTACTCACATGCTTCATAAGTGAACTTGAAGAGCAGAGGACAGGACTTGTGAACACTGACATTTATTTTTCACAAAAAGTCCTGGACTACGAATGCCAGTGTTGTGACTAGATTCCAGCATTGTGGTTTTGGGGACTATGTTTCGTCAGCCTTCTTGTTTGAGTAGCTTCAATAAACTCTGTGCAAAATTGAGGCAGTTGCTGCATCTTTATGTGATCTTTAAGTAATAACAGAGGATTCAGAACTGCCTCTGATGCTTTGGAGTGCTCTTCCATAAGCTAAAGGAGTTAATTAGCCCAGCTAGAGGTGTGTAAAATGGTCTCCAAACAAGGGGAGAATGGAGATTTTCTAAGCTGAAGTAAGGGTGTGCAAATAATAGGGCAACTTTGCCCATGTAAGCAGCAGTTGGTCTGTGTGAAGTCAGAGGAGCTGCAGGATGTGGAGGAACTAGCTTGGTTTACGCTTCAACATGTGCCTGGCTTTGAAAGAACCCACAGTTGTGGCAGAAGGACACTGGAAAGAGTAGTGAAGTATTTGTCCAGGCGTCTTTTCTGGCACTGAGGGACTGCACAATGTATACTAGCTAAGCAGGCATTTTGAGGAGCTCAAGTTTAAATCGATGTTTAGAAGTAGTCTCACTGTGTAAGTTTTAGATGGGGTCAGGGTTGCCTTTTTCTTCAAAAATCTTTGGATAATACTTGCAAGTTTAGGTTTCATTCACCATTTTTAAGTAATGTTAGAACAGGGCTAGGAGTAGATTTCTCTAGTCACCTGAGGAAGTCATAAGGTACTCACAGAGAGGCTTTAACAAGGCAAGATAACTGGCACAGATTGTTACTGCATTTGCTGTTTAATTAATGCAAGGGACTCACATCTATGACAATAGAATGAAGAAATTGATTAAATTAATCAGAAGTTCTTGATTTATTTATGTTAATGTACTGTGTCATACAAGGAGAGCTAAGTCTCTCAAGGACTATCAGTTCCTGGAGGCAGTGCAGGAGAGTTTTGACTGAAGACAGATTCTTTTTTTGTGTTGGTTGGTACCAGAACCTAGGCTAGGTGTTATGTGCCCACACCCGTGTAAAATCAGACAAGACTGCCAGTCACATTGGCAAATAATGATTGATAGAAATAATGGTGAATTTGAAGCATGTGCTTGAAAAATCTCTTACCTAGATACAAAGCCAGAAAGTTGTGCAGTGCTATGCAAACTTGAAACTTGTGCAGTTCTACGCAAACAAAGTTACTATGGCATTGTTTTAATGTCTGGATTTTTGGTTTTTGCTTGTTTCAGTATCTTCTTTTTGGATTAACATAATTATATAATCAGTGATATAATCAGATAAACATTTAAACCAGCACAGTTTGGTGTGTACTTGATCATGTGCTTAGGTTTGTTTAAATTCTGTAAAAATAAGTGTGTGAGTTCACTGTGTATTTATTTACAGGAGCATAAAGATTGAAATATTACACTAGAAGATCAAACATGAAAGTATGGTTTACAGCTGACAGGTGGTTTCTTTCTATATTAAAACCTGTATGTTAGAATTCAGCATCTAGTGGAGGAAAGAAATCTTTACCTTCTCCACTAGATGGTGCAAGTCAATTAAAAAGCCCTTACATTTCTCATTTATTCTTAGGGAATCTGAATTAAGCATGAATTAAACAAATTACTTATTAGTAAAATAATTTTGGTTAAGGGCCTGCTTTTCTCCCCCACCTCCAGTGTAACAGTTGCTATATAGTAATATTTGTATCTTTACAGGAATCAAGTATATGAATATGTAGCATTTCCCTGCCAATAAAAATAGACCATGCTATGAAATTGCAGCCTGTAGCTGAAAAACCAGTGTATCTTTGCAACATAGAAGGACTTTAACTATTGAAACCTTTCATTCTGAAATCATTCAGGTTTTTTCTGTGATTCCCGCCCAGTGATATATCTGCTGAAGGGCAGTAAGTGCTATATAGGATCATTTTAATATTTTCCTTTCATCATTCAGAATAAGGTTGTACTTGTGTATGCTTACAGCTTGGTAGTCATCTCCTTTCTCTGAAGCGCAGTTTGTGGCTTTTTAAATCAGCTTTCATGCCTTGCATACTTGTTTTGAAGTGATCTGGTTGTGATTTTCACATGGTTTGTAATCTCATTTTCCTTTCCCTGACCCAGTTTCAGTAAGCATTACAAATCTTTATCCTGGATGTGAAAATGTCAGCGTGAGAAGCCGTAGTATGATGTTTGAGCCGGGCCTGACCAAAGGGGTATTAGAAGCTTTTGTTTCACCTGCTCATCACTCTCACTTCTCTGCTGACGACCAGTCCACCAAGGCCATTGACATTCAGAATGCCTGCTTGCATGGTAAGTGGAGCCCTGGGCTGCCATGCTTTAATGTTACGGGATGGTTAATGCCATGTTGCTTGTCTTTAAAAATAAAAGAGGAAGAAAGAAAATCTGACTTAGTATGGGAGTGACTGTGGTCGAGAATCCAACACTGGAGGGGTTTGGTTTCTTTAAGCAGAAAGTAAATCTGCATGAAGTTCTCTACCTGTAATACACTTGGTAATCACATGTGTCAGGTCTTCGTAGTGTCATACAGAAATGTTTTTGAGATGAGTAAGTGAGGCAGGAGGAGGAAGGGATTTGGTGTGAAAGGAGTGAGTTGGCAGACTGGCAACTAGCGTGAAGGCTCCTTCACCTATACTGTATGTCATTTGGGGATTTTATCGGGTTTAATCTGGTCCCATAGCCCCAAGTGTCCTCACTGTGTAATTGGTTCCCAGCTGCATGAAGACCTGCCATTCTCGCCCCATGGCAGGACTGAAGCATGTTTGGTGAGCCCCGGAGCTCACCAAACATGGTGAGCGGAGCTTCTGATTTATTTTTTTTTGAAAGGCCGCTAACTGCTCTGCAGTTGAAACCAGTTAACAGTAACAGGGGGTCAGTCAGAGAAGTTGTAGTAAGTATGTATATGGCTTTTGACCGCAAAGGCGTACAAATGGTGCATATACACCACCAGCCATACTCATCGTTATATAGGTGGTAAGATCTCTCCCAGTACGATCTCTTCTGAAGAAGGAGAATGTTTTGCATGCCTTAGCACCTGCAATTTTGAGGCAGAGTTAGGATTAATAGATTAAGATTTTACTTTGGAGAAAGAAACCCATTTATGAATGCAGTATATGCACACTAACACATGCAGTGACGAAACGTTTGTTCTAGATGCTGAAGAGTTTGGCGTGTGGCTAAAGCTTACTCTTTGTCCAGGCTAATTTCCTCTTTCAGTGTAATTTGAAACCAAGTCAGATTCTGCATGGAAATAGAGTTGTGCAATGGACCTTCAGAACAGGTTTCTTTTCTTTCTCTGTGGTGTCTTGTTATAGAAGGAAAGCATGTATGTGGGTGATCTCTGAATAGCTGTACTCAGAAGATTTGAGGTTTCTGCCTTCTTTTCTTCTAGAAGTTTGAGGTGCATCTTAATCAGCATTTATTTAAACAGAGGTAGTACAAGTGTAGCAGACTTAACCCTAATCAGATGGTGAGTCTGGGAAGTGTCATACAGTGTAACACGCTAATACTTTTCTCACACGCAGCTAAAGGAGATGGCAAAAAGAAGCACAGTGCTTTTTGGGACCTTAACATGGTAATTCTTCAGTCCTGACTTAACAACGTGATGTGACTAGTACAATTCTGTAAAACAAAGTGGCTTCTTTCAGTACGTTTTTCAGCTGTTTTGAGCACCAGAAGTGGCATGTTAAGAAAACCCAGTAAAAATATTGAGTGTTTTGGGGTGAGCAGGAAACGAATGGGAGCCGTTTTTCTTGTTTTTCAAGGGAATTACAAGATCCGTTGCTGTTGTGCAAAGCAAAGGCCAATTGAACGTGTAAGGCTGCATGCATTTAGCACACAGGTGCTTCCATGTGGCATCCAGCTGAATGTCCTACAGAAGTGAATGTGAGAGAGGAACAGATTGGGAGGACCCAACTTCTCAGCCACTGAAACTGACTGAAACCTGTTCCCTTTGTTCATGATTGCATTTGCAGTCATTGCTTTCTCACATGCAGGTGGTTTATCTTTGTGAAATATTTAATCAGATTGACTCTTTTGTTTGTCTCTCCACAACTGAAAGATGCTTCGCGCTTACTGATGAAGTGTGTTCTCTTCATCTGTTTGTCTTGTTTTTCAGGAGTTGGCGATTTCAGCATCTGGGAATTCTCGGGGAATCCTGTATATTTCTGCTGTTACGATTTTTTTGCTGCAAATGATCCCACTGCAATTCACATAGTGCTTTTTAGTCTCGAGGAGCCTTATGAAATCCAGCTAAACCAAGTGACCTTTTGGCTCAGTTTCCTGAAATCATTAGTCCCAGTTGAGGAGCCAATAGGTATGCTCTTTTGCCTGTTAATGAAATATTATCGGACTATAACATAAAGCTTCTTGTGTTTCTTTGCAACTTTGTACATCTTCCATGTTGAGTGTGGTTATGTATCTTCATCCTCATGTATTCAAACAAACTTTACACAAAGGTTCTTAGAGAAGGGGAATTTTATCTGTAGAACAAGCGTGAAGATTGTACACACCACTTAGTCCGACTAAAAAGGGTTGTGAGGTACACAGTGCAGCCTCTTGTGGCATTGGGATTTACATCTGTAAAGGGCAGAGGGAAGTTTTATGTCAGATAAGCTGCATGGAAAAGTGTTTCAGAGGGTTGGAACCATTTAAAACCAGTTTTAGATTCACTGCTTAAATTCTACTTATATCTAACCCCAATTAACAGTGTTTCCAGCATGAATTGGTCTTGCCAATGAGAACAGGACAGAACAACATTGTGGAGTGGCATTACCTCTCAGTATGTGCCACTTCAACATGTTTAACTAGAGTTGTACTTGGAAATCAAATATGTTAACCTTTGGTGCATCAGGGTGTACAGAAACCAGGATTTCTAGTAAATTCCCCTTCACATGTGCTCAGGCTTTTCACAGGTTTTAAGTAAGTTTACTTGTTACTTCAAGCTTTCTAACAAACTGAAAGTTACTGGGCAGGCAAACAAACTTAGTTTTCTTAAGAGGTCTGTAGGTCTAGTTATATACACCATATAACTTGTTCGTGTTTGTACCTGAGCATCAGTCTGCAGACTGTGACAGTTTTATGGATGAATCAAGCTCTGATACGTGTCTTGGTTCTATGAACTGAAATGTTATTCTAGCCAGTGGATCTAACTCAGCACTCATGGACATTTACAGTGCTGCTAGGGACTCACCAGACAAGCGTATCAAATACTTGCATAGTGCAAAGAGTATTTCCCCCCTCTTCTTGTTTTCTGCTCGATTCTGTATGCATTAGCTCAGCCAGGTAGTAATAACGATGAGCCACGGCAGAACTTCAGTTTTCTATTCAGGCATCTGCATGCCTTTCATTTTCCATTTTTAGATCAAATCACAAGGTTAACAATATGAGCATTTGGATCTAACCATGTCCTGGTTTCGGCTGGGATAGAGTTAATTTTCTTCATAGAAGCTAGCATAGTGCTGTGTTTTGGATTTAGTACCAGAAGAATGTAAACACACTGATGTTTTTAGTTGTTGCCAAGTAGTGCTCAGACTATTCCAGGACTTTTTGAGCTTCTCCTGCTCGCCCAGGTGCATAACAAGCTGGGAGTACAGCACAGCTAGGACAGCTGACCCAAACTGACCAAAGGGCTATTCCATACCATATAACGTCATGCTCGGGGGGGTCGGTCGGTTGGTTGGGCGCAGGGAGACTGATCGCAGCTCTGGACGGGCTGGGCATCGGTCAGCAGGTGGTGAGCAATTGCATTGTGCATCATTTGTTTTGTATATTCTTTATATTCTGTTATCATTCTCATTATCACTATTATTATTATTTTCTCTTACTAAACTGTCTTTATCTCAGCCCTCGGCTCTAACCTTTTATTTTCTTCCTGATTCTCTCCCCCATCCCACTGAGGGAGGGGGGGAGTGAGCGAGCAGCTGCATGGGGCTTAGTTGCCAGCCGGGTTAAACCACGCAAACCAACATGTAAATTACTTCTGGAAGTAAAAGCTCAGAAATTTGCACAAGTATCAAAGCTGAAAATACAGTTCATTGGCAATTGCTGAAAGCTTTTTACAGCTCCTCAGTCTAGCGAGGAAACTTAGTTCTTGCTTTGACCAAGTTAGAAGTTGAGTTAATCATTTCTTCTTGCTGATCTAATTATCAGCATTATTTAGATACTTTGCTTAAATCAGTGTTTATACTGGTCAGCTCAATTTGGGTACCCATGCATTTTTGTACTATTACAACTCTCTCAAGCAATATGTAGTAAGTGATGTTAGAAGAAAACTTAAACTTTTGGAATTACTTTCCAGTTATTTTGTCTAAGTCCTTCAGTGGCAAAAAAAAAATAAAATATTTACATTTACAAAATACTGACTTTGAAGTGCTATGCAGAGATTTGGAAAAATACGGCTTTTATGAATGAATCAAGATTCTGTAGCTCTTAGGTAATGAAAACTGAGCGGTGATGCAAGCATATTTCTCCCATGTGAAGTTTTGTCAGACTAAAACAGCAGGACTGGATGTGCTATCTTTTTTAAAAATAGTCCAATGATGTCTTCTCATTTCTGGAAGATCAGTTTGAGAAAAGATTGAAAACTCTGTGTTCCATACTGTCACCTCATTCATGCCATTTGTGTCTTTCTTTCTTTCTCATTCTTTTTCATGGTTTCGGCCAGGCTTTCCTACTTAACTCTCACCTAAGTGAGAGGTCATTGTTTGTGTAAGTACTGCAAAATAGCATTCATACCAACGTATGAATGTTGTAGACATTTTGTGTTCTACTTGTAATCCTGTAGTCTGCACCTGTAGTATTAGGGACCATCCAAACATTATGAGAAACCCTTTCAAGAAGCTGTTATTTTTAATTATTTTTCCTCAGATTATTATAGTTTGTAGTTAATAGATATATCATTAGTGTTACTGATGAATGTTTTTGTTAAAACAATATGTAATAAACAATGTAATATCAATGTATCTGATGTTATTCAAAGAGTCCAGCTATTCAAATTGGACATTATATAGAGAATCCTATAGGCAGATAACAGCCAAAGCACCGGTGGCGTAAGCACAGTATGGCTATCTTAGAGTTGGTAAATTCACTGCAAAAGTGATAGACATGAAGAATGTGAAATGCATTGCTACTTTCCTGGCTCAGTAAGATGGCTGTCTCCATAGGCGTGTCTCATAGTGAGAGAGTGCTCTTGTTTCTCTTCTAGCATTTGGTGGAAAGCTGAAAAGTCCCCTGTGCGTTGTTTTGGTCGCCACACATGCTGACATAGTGAATCTTCCTCGGCCTGTTGGGGGAGAGTTTTGGTATGACAAAGACATATCGTTGTTGAAAGAAATCAGGAACAGGTAAGTGGGGAGTGTGTACCTATAAATATATGTAGTGTTTAAACATGTCAGTTGGAAAGAAAAAATACTAAAATGCATAGGATCTTGTAAAAGGTTTTTGCATGGCTTAAGCTTTATGATATTTTGAGTACATTCAGGAAGCTTATATTGTGCTAAAATTGAAACATTTATCAATATTACAGTGAGTGAGGTGCTTTGAGGTAGCTAAAATGAGCCAAGTGGTGCAAAAACCGAGCTGAGGCTTAGGAAGTCTCACCCTGTAAACACTGTGATACATCCAAAGGCCTGTATCAGCCATCTGTCTAACATCTTGGTGCTCAGGTTTTGCACCAGTCTCAGAAAAGTCGGCAGTTCTGAGCTCCAAACTCTGGGTGCAAAAGAGTGATCTTTACAGGAGAGCCACCCTTTGCTCTGAATTGATCCAGGATGGGTAGGGAAAAAGCTTAAACCAGGCCTGGAGGTACTCCATACACAGTGTGCAAAGAGCTAGACGTTGTGGAGTCATACAGGTGACAAGATCATCCAAGAGGTACCTAGAAGTTAGGGAAACTTCTAGCCTTCTTCAGCAAATGTTTGGTGAGCATGTTAATTGTAGTGGAAATAGGGAATTTTTCACAAACATACCATTGTATAAAGTAACAATAATTTGTATTCACAGTGAGCACTTAAGTGGGTAACACATGGTACAAGGAACCATCTATACCTGTGAGAAGAGTCACTTGTCTGGACTGTACAAGAAACAGATGTAGGAACTCCAGCACAATAGTGGCAGGGCACTATCTTAATCAATTGAGATAAACCAACAGAAAATACCTGTGTGTAATCTTTGATGTTGGAATCCTTTTAAATGCAAATCAGCCCAGAGCTAGGAAAAGAAGTAAGTGGTTGAAAAGTCAAAAGGAAGTGAGAAAGAGAGCTGGTGTCAATAGCAGTGACAACTGAACTATTTAAAGTGAGAAGAAAGAAAACAACAAATATGAAGACCTTAAAAAGAACTCCTGCTATCCTTTCTCTAGTGAAATATTTGAGTTTGTAATTACAAGTCCTGTGATGCAGTTGTAATTCTCTTACACATCTTCATCCTTCTTCCTTAGGAAAGACAAAAATTTTCTCTCAATATCTCTATTTTCAAGAAAACTAGAGCGTGGCTGTACTGTCTGTGTTTATAAAATACCCTAGCATAATCAGTACTTAAACTTTTTCATCATTCCTTGAAGAAAAATAACTTGTGTAATTTAAGACTGAAGTACAACTGGATTAAGAAATAAAACTGGATTTGGGACTAAGTAAATAATTGCTTGCTTTTTCTCTTTTAGGTTTGGAAATGATCTGCAAATTTCAGACAAGTTATTTGTCTTGGATGCTGGAGCATCTGGGTCTAAAGATATGAAGCTTCTCCGAAATCACTTGCAAGAAATAAGAAGCCAGATAATTTCTGTAAGTAATGTCTAATGGTCTGGGTTGGGCCAGCCAAAATGTGAAAATATTCTGTAATAATTCACTGTCAATTTAGTATATACATTACGAAACTTAAAGAAACGAGTGCTGTTCCAATTTTTTAGCAGCATGCATGACAGACCTGGTGATAAACAAACTCCTGACATCAAAGATTCAGTCAGCATTTTCAAAACTGTAGGTGTTTTGTACAGGTCACCAAAATGATGTATTTGAGATTTTCAGATCAAAGTTATAGTGTGTATTTTGAATTGACAGTGATTGGATTCAAGTGCTGACCCTTCTTTTTTTGTTTGTTTTGTTTTTAATCTTTTTTTTTTCCACATAGTATTAGAGAGAAACAGAATATGTTTCAGGCAAGTAAGTTTTTCATAAAAAAAACCCCACCAGAGTAGAACAATTTCTTCAACCCTTAGAAAGATAATTCCTAATACAGATGCGTGAACTGAATATACATCAACTTTTTACTGCAGTTCTTTTACTGAAAAATGTGTGCTGGGAGTTGTATATATATGTGTAGGTATACGCATATGAGACTAAAGGCAAAATAGCCATGTTGTGATGTCATCACTGTGAATCCACAGAGACTTCCCTACTGAGGGTGACTAAATCAAGTTGTTATGTAGCCTGTGCTAAAGGGATGTAAATTTCTTCATACCAAAGGCCCTCTTACTTGCGTGACACACCAACGTTGCTGTAGCTACTTCTGATAGGTATTTTTTCAAAAATGAATTAAAAGTGAATGTATTATTGCTTTAATGCTGTAGGTCAAGGAAAATGTTTGATCTTATGCAAAATTCAGCCTATTTTACATTCCTAATGTCTCTTGATTTAATAAGCTTTTCTTCTCTGACAAATCTCTGTCACAGCTGTGGTCACTAGCTTGAAATCTGGAGAGCCTTGCTGCATAAAAAGTGCATGCTGTGGCTTGAGAGCATAGGATGAAGGCATCAGTGATGTCCAAGACAATAGATAGAAGTACCATCTTTACGTCTTATCTAATACTCTTCTGTCTCACCTGTTGAAGTAAACTGGTCCTGTACCAATATTTATGTGTACAGATTTTAGTTAAATGTTGACAATTTATGAAATAAAGATTAACTTCTAGATGCATGAAGGCAATTGATACATTTTGAAGTCACCGTTTCAGATGGTCAGCACATTTGATAAGGCCAGACTATATAAACTAAACTTTGTTCCACGTGTAAGGATTCCCTTTGTAATCATGGTGATGTTTGGAAAGTTTGCTTATATCAGCGAAAAAGTTGGGTTTGGAATTCACTATTAAGAGAAGTTAGATCTGATGGCAAGTGAATGCCAGATGGAAGAGTAAGGGTCCCTCACAAGGGGAATTCTTCCAGACGTGAATATATGTAATGAATGCATTAGACCTTGTAACCTCCGTTAAAAAAAAACAGCAATAGTACTGTTACTCTCAGCAGAGCAGAATTACAAATGGGTGTTTTCTGTGCTTTTGTAAGACTTGTCCACCTATGACTCATCTGTGTGAAAAAATAATCTCCACGCTGCCTTCATGGAGAAAAATGAATGGGCCCAATCAGCTGATGTCCTTGCAGCAGTTTGTGTATGATGTACAGGAACAGCTTAATCCCCTAGCAAGTGAAGAGGACCTACGGCATATTGCACAGCAGTTGCATAGCATAGGAGAAGTAAGTGTTTTTATCTAAATTGCATACCTTTATTAGCAAGGTTACTGCTCTGGTAGAATATTGCTTAGTGGGATTTAAGCAAACGTCTGTAGGTTTGGGTTTTTTCCTTCTCCCTCTTAAGACATCATAAGAAGTAGAAACTGGTTAATAATGCTTTTTGTAACCTTTATTGTCTTGTGGGTCCTATTTCATTTGACATTATCTCTTTGAGACAAGAAGAATTACAGTTTATTGCTGTAGCTGTAAGAATATAAAATACCCAGAAAAATGGTAAGTCTGCTGTCATCTTAAATGAGGTAGTACCTAATGTGTTCACTGCATATGAGAAATTTATGTGTCCATTAGAAATTGAATCGTAGGATAACACCTTTGCATAAACAGCTTGCTAAGCTTTACTGCTCTTGGGCTCTAATGGCTTTGTTACCAGTGGAAATCAAGAACAAGATCTGCTCTTCTGAATACTTGCAAGAAATTAAAATGCACTGGGTTTTTTTGTCCTGTCAGCAGTTTTAATTAAGTGATTGGGTCAATAAGTTAGGAAAGAGAGAACATGGGGTATCATCTTGTACTTCACAAGAGCTAAATAGTAACTTTCATATTTATAAACAGATTAACATTATGCAGAGTGAAACTGTGCAAGATGTTGTGCTTCTGGATCCTCGCTGGCTCTGTTCAAATGTCCTTGGAAAAATCCTGTCAGTGGAGAACCCAAAAGCTCTCCATCACTATAGAGGTCGGTACACTATAGAGGACATCCAGCGTCTGGTGACAGACAGTGATGTGGAAGAACTGATACAGATTTTGGATGCCATGGATATTTGTGCAAGGGACCTTAGCAGTGGAGCAATGGTGGATATTCCTGCTCTCATAAAGACTGACAATCTCCACAGGTCTTGGACAGATGAGGAAGATGAGGTGCTGATTTATGGTGGTGTTAGAATCGTTCCTGTGGAACATCTTACCCCATTTCCGTGTGGAATTTTTCATAAAGTTCAGGTGAATCTCTGCAGGTGGATTCATCAGCAAAGCACAGAGGGAGATGCTGATATACGTCTGTGGGTAAATGGATCAAAGATTGTGAATCGTGGAGCTGAGCTTTTAGTGCTGCTGGTCAACCATGGTCAGGGTATAGAGGTTCAAGTCAGAGGACTGGAAACAGAGAAGATCAAGTGCTGTTTACTCCTGGATTCTGTATGCAGCACCATTGATAACTTAATGGCCACAACCTTACCAGGCCTTCTGACTGGGAAATACTACCTTAGTCCTCAGCAGCTGAGGGAACATCATGAACCAGTAATGGTCTACCAGCCTAGAGACTTTTTCCGTGCACAGAGTCAAAAGGAGACAGCACTAACTAACACTATGGGGGGATATAAAGAGAGCTTTAGCAGTATACTGTGTTTTGGGTGTCTTGATGTCTACTCCCAGGGAAGCCTAGGAATGGATATTCATGTTTCTGATCTGAATCTACTTACCAGGAGAAAACTAAGTCGACTTTTGGATCCACCTGATCCTATGGGCAAAGACTGGTGCCTTCTGGCCATGAACCTGGGCCTCCCTGATCTTGTTGCAAAGTACAATACAAATAATGGAACACAAAATGACTTCCTCTCGAGCCCAGTCCATGCCCTTCTGCAGGAGTGGAGTAATGCTCCTGAGAGCACTGTAGGTATTCTGATGTCCAAGCTGAGGGAATTAGGTCGCAGAGATGCAGCAGACTTTTTACTGAAGGCGTCTTCTGTATTCAAAATAAATTTAGATGCTAATGGTCAAGAGGCTTATGCTTCCAGTTGCAACAGTGGCACATCTTATAACTCGATTAGCTCTGTCGTGTCACGGTAAGAGCAGGTATTTTGCATGGACATCTTTTCAAACTGCAGAAAGGCTAAAAGATACAGTACAAGAGTTTCTGTGCATTTTCATTTATGAGGGTCATCAAAGGGTCTTTATCCTTCTCCAGCACCACCTTTTTTACAGAATCACAGAATGGCAAGGGTTGGAAGGGACCTTGGGAGATCATCTAGTCCAAACCCCCTGCTAAAGCAGGTTCACCTAGAGCATGTTACACAGGACTTCGTCCAGGCGGACTTTGAATATCTCCAGAGAAGGAGACTCCACAACCCCCCTGGGCAGCCTGTTCCAGTGCTCTGTCACCCTCAAAGTAAAGAAGTTTCTCCTCATATTCAACTGAAACCTCTTATGTTTCAGTTTGTACCCATTGCCCCTTGTCCTGTCGCTGGGCACCACTGAGAAGAGTCTGGCTCCGTCCTCGTGACATCCACCCTTAAGATATTTGTATGTGTTGATGAGGTCCCCTCTCAGTCTTCTCTTCTTCAGGCTGAACAAGCCCAACTCTCTCAGCCTTTGCCCACAGGGGAAATGCACCAGTCCCTTTATCATCCTTGTTGCTCACCTCTGAACTCTTTCTAGGAGTTCCTCATCTTTCTTGAACTGGGCATAAACTTTCTACTTGTAACTGTGAATTGTTGCTCTATATCTATTAAAAAGGCTGGTGTACTTCTGGTGTTTTAAAATTATTCCTGATACATAATGTGCTGCTTAATACTGCCATTTTAACTAGAAAGTCTTAACTTTTGGATTACGTACTGCAACTGTTTTATAAAATATTTTGATTCTCCCCATAAAAGGTAGGGGGAGAGGAATAGCACATATTACCTGAAACTTGTATTTCTTACACCCTTTTTTTTTTCTTTTCATTGTGTCCTCTGCTTGACATTTTTTTATAATTGTAAGGAGAGAAATCCACCATTTGTGGTCCATCTGACTGAATTTAAAACCATGTTGTTTATAGCTGAAAAAGTGAGTGCCTTTTGCAGAAGGGAGGGTGCAGTTGATTTGAATGACCCTGCTGGAGTTACAAGAACATGCTACCTCTGTTTCACTTAAATTGTCTGCATGCTTATCATTGCAAGTGGTGCTTGCCTTTTAATTTTTTCCTGCACTTCTAAGACATTGATGATGACTCACACAGAGCATTCTTGTGCCAGTACTATGGGTATAGACATGTGATACCTAATCAGCTTCAATTACAGTCAAATCATAATGTGAAAATCTCTTCAGCTTGCCAATTATCACGCTTCATTATTTCCATGTACCTCAGGTAAAAGTTCGTATCATTATAGAGCTCAAAACACAGAAGTGTTGGATACTGCAGAATAATATTGTATAGCTGTCAGTTGTAATTTGTGTATAACAAAGGTTTTCTACTATTAGATCCTGCATTACTTACTTCCTGTACTTGAAAACTTTGATGGGGATAAAAACAAAAAGGAAGCAAGGTTTCTTGCAGTGATAACTTTAAAATTGATATGAGGGAATATGACCCATTCTCTGTTCTAAAAAGCATGTAATTTTAATGGTGCGATGTGTGTTTGTTTATATATATTGTATGTACATATATTAATACTATTTTTTCCTTAATCCTACAATGTAGTAAAATTTTAAAGGATTTTTCTACAAATAAACTGTTGCTTGTTGCATCCTCATTGTTCATATTCTGTAGCGGAAAGGGACTGAAACGTCTCTTTTCCTTATAGTCGTCATCCTGGAGAGGCAATGCCTGGCTTCTGAAGTTGTGGGAACCTCCTGTTTCACTTTAGGGGGATTTCTCGGTATGCTGCAGGAATATTTATCTACTTGTTTACTGCAGAGATGGTCCCTCTGTAGCAGAGGGATTTGCATTCATTTTGACAAACGGCAAGCCGGTTTGCTACATAGCTTTTCCTTTGTGGGTTTTTTGCAATGAAAAACAAAACAGCAGATGCGAGCCTGTCATCGGGAATCCTCCAGACTATGCTGTGTTGCAAGGGGGGAGAACACTGCATTAGAGCCCATGCTGCGGTAATGGTCCTCCACACTAAGGATCCCCTCATCGCAGGAGGGCCTGTGCTGCTGCTGCTGCATATTTAAACTCTCGGCTTCACTCGCTGATAGCTGCACAGTCTCCGTACAGCACTCCAGGGAGGCAGCTCTGCACGATAACTCTTCCTTGTGCGTGCTGCAAAGGAATTAAATGGACTGCTCTTAAAATCCTAGTTTCCCGCTGACTTTCTTTGCATCTTTTACCCTTGATTTCTTAAATCCTTCCCCAGGCATCACCGGGCTCTATTGTTAAATGTTTTTTTAAAAGTTTAGTCCACAATGAGAGGTATGGTTAATGAGCAGTCCTGCCCTGAGGTGGCTCTGCTCCAATGTCCTGCCTCTGACCCACTGAGTTCATTTTTTCAACCACTGCTTAAAGTTGCTCAGTGAAGAGCCCAGCTTTCCATGGCCCGTATTTGCCTGTGTTACTTCATGGCCACCACCACACTTCCCCTTCCAGCTGTGGACATGTTCAGCACTTCTGTCAGAATCTAGTACATGGAGGGGTCTTTCCCATCTCCTAAGAGTTTTATGTTTTTCTAGCTGGTTTTTTTTAGGCTTGTTCCTCAGGCATCAAACTTGGAGTTACCTTCACTGAGTCTGTGTGACTGCAGAGGAGTGACACAAAAAATGCTTTGCCTATGCAGGGCTGTCAGTGGTGTCTGTTAGCTTGGGGTTTAATTCACCACCATACTGCTTGTGGTGGAGTGGCAAGATTTTGAAATACCAGGCAGCTCCTCCCTGCCTGCCTCCCCAGATGCTTTGTGTGCGCTCAAGATGCATGGTCGACTTACCAACACTGATGCAGTCGTCTTTTTCTTTTTTTTTTTCCTCCCAACAGCATGTTCCTGACAATTCTCTGCTTCCATTTACTGTAAAATGTAGCCCTGGGAGTATAAATTACCCAGCAGATGCTATGGTGGATCTTTGAATGGCAGTAACAGCCTATTGCATCATGTACAGTTTTCATGGTAATAGGTTCAGGACAGTGAATCACAGTCATAGGATAGCTTTGGATTGCCTTCCTATAAGTCATGTGCCGCTGACATTAAAAAAAAAAAAAAAAAACTAAACAAAATGCTGTCCTAAAAGACAATTTTGAAAAAAACCCAAAAAGTTAGAAAAGTGGTACAAGTGGGCATCCCTTCAGTTGCTTCACTTTTACTGATTTGCTGTTTTGTTTTGCGAATGCAACTAGAGCAGAGCTTCATTCCACAGTTTTTCAGACTGTGTTTAAAATGGACTGATCCTGCCTGACTCACTCCAGAAATGGAGGAAATGCAAGTCTTTGCAAGGTCAAAAAACTTTAGCCATAAATGTAACGTATGTATAGTTTGTGCTGAGCCAAGCTCAGCTCCTGCAGGTGAGATAAGTAAAGCTGGACACTGAACATGAGGAAGCTCTCTCCCTGGCACTTCTCTGTGGCTTCAGAGCAGAGCTTCTGAAACAGTTTTGAGGATAAAGAAGATTAGCCCCAACGCTCATTTTTGTCTTCAAAATCCGTAATATAGACAAACTCTCAAGCTTGCAACGCAGTTGCTTAAGGCCAAGATGCGTGGCAGATGATCTTGTAGTTTAGAAATTTGCGTTACGGACACGTGGACTCAAATTCTGAAGAAGTTTTCTGAAGAAGATAGGGAGGAAGTGAGCATTCTGGTGCAAACCATTTTTCCAGTCTTTTAAGAGTCTTTTCTCCCCAGCACACAGCAGCATGCATAAGGTAGGAAAGTGCTTCCTATTGCGATTTGTGTTAGGTTTTGCTGGTTTTACTCTCTGTGGGAGTTTGGCTGCTGACCTGACTGGTGAATTTGGAAACCACAAGAGATGAGTGGCTGTGTGCAAATGACTTTGAGGGTGGGACAAGAAGGTCATCCAGGGGTAGCCTTGGCTGGAGGTGGATATGTATGATTCTTCTCACCTTTAGAGGATGTAAACTGGAGACAGCCACAGGTTTTAAGATCCTTGTGATTCAAATGATTGAGAAAGAGTTACGAAACTACAGGGGTTCAGGAGCTCCCAAGTGTCAAGGGACTGACAGAGCCAGAGCACAGTTCCCTAAATGGTCAGGTCTGTAGAGAGAGCAGTGGTTAAGCTCTTACAGCTGGCTGTGCTGGAACCAGTGCCAGGTCCTAAACCACCGCTGGCTGCATTGCCCACTCCAAGGAGTGGGCCTGTTTGTTGCAACCTTCTTATTCCAGGGATGCTGTGTTGCAGCATCTTAGTTTAAAACAGGTGCCTCAATTTGAATCGTAGTTTAGAAATTTGCGTTACGGACACGTGGACTCAAATTCTGAAGAAGTTTTCTGAAGAAGATAGGGAGGAAGTGAGCATTCTGGTGCAAACCATTTTTCCAGTCTTTTAAGAGTCTTTTCTCCCCAGCACACAGCAGCATGCATAAGGTAGGAAAGTGCTTCCTATTGCGATTTGTGTTAGGTTTTGCTGGTTTTACTCTCTGTGGGAGTTTGGCTGCTGACCTGACTGGTGAATTTGGAAACCACAAGAGATGAGTGGCTGTGTGCAAATGACTTTGAGGGTGGGACAAGAAGGTCATCCAGGGGTAGCCTTGGCTGGAGGTGGATATGTATGATTCTTCTCACCTTTAGAGGATGTAAACTGGAGACAGCCACAGGTTTTAAGATCCTTGTGATTCAAATGATTGAGAAAGAGTTACGAAACTACAGGGGTTCAGGAGCTCCCAAGTGTCAAGGGACTGACAGAGCCAGAGCACAGTTCCCTAAATGGTCAGGTCTGTAGAGAGAGCAGTGGTTAAGCTCTTACAGCTGGCTGTGCTGGAACCAGTGCCAGGTCCTAAACCACCGCTGGCTGCATTGCCCACTCCAAGGAGTGGGCCTGTTTGTTGCAACCTTCTTATTCCAGGGATGCTGTGTTGCAGCATCTTAGTTTAAAACAGGTGCCTCAATTTGAATCGCATCACACTTTCAACTTCACCAGTGAAATGGAGGAGCAATGCCCCAGTTGTAACTCCAAACAAAGTAAATTAAGTGTGCTGCTGGCTGAAACCTCTCTTCAGATCAGAGGAGATGGAGCAGTGCAGTATCTTCTTTGAAGGTGGCCTGAAAGCACTAGGCCCAATATTAAAATTTATTGCTATTTGACTTTTTGTTTGTTAACCTCTGCCTAGCAGGTTGCGAAAA